GGCGGGGGTCTGAAGGTGATAGGGAAGTAATTGTAGGCCGAGTCAAACAGCAGCTTCAGAGGTCAGCTTTGGCAGACGGCCCAGCAGATTCCATGCAGCACGTACCTCCGCATGGTTGGAGATGTCCCATTCCACCATGACCACTTTGAGTATGGAAAACACCATCATCAAGTTCCGGGGATCCTTCTCGCCAGTAACAAGATCCACAATTCCAACCAGGGATTCGTCCCCCATATCATGGAGTGCTGTACCAGTCAGTATGCTCTTGCCCGTAGCCCCGAGAGATGGGATGGTCTCCAAAACGCACCGCCACGATAACTCAGCATCAATTCGTTCAGCAACTGATACACTTGGAATCGTTGAGACTGGGAACGAGACTGCAATTCCTCAAATTGTTCAAAGATCCTGTGCGCAAGTCAGCCCCCCTCTGCCCCATGCAAAGCACATTGCTCGAACTCGGGAAGAGCAAGCACTCACGCCCGAGCAACCTCTTCAGCCAGAGGCTTATTGAATCGATCCAGCTTCTGCAACGTCTCCAACCCGGCAACCGCCCCTCCATCCTGAATCCGATCACAGAAGAAAGTCGTCAGAACCTGAATCTGCTGCCTCGAGAGGAACTTGGCGGGCAGCTCCTTGATGATCGCAGTGAGGTAGGAAACCGCTTTGCCGCGAAGAATTGGGTCGTCATCGTTGATATATTCGCCTAGCGACTGCACGACTTCAATGAGTGTCGTCTTCTTATTCTCCACATCTTTTTTTTATTCGTGAGTGCAAGTTAGCAAAGTCTCATTACCCGACCTGTCTCTTGGAGAGAGAGAGTGAGAAGTTTCACAGAAAAACTTACCTTGAGCAACTCGTTCAGCAATCTGCTTGGCCTCCTGCTTATCGTGGTCCACGACCAGCAGGAAAGTCTGCAATGCCGACATGCTGGATGCGTGGGGTCTTCTTTTCGTGTTTTGTGTATTTGCGCAAGATTGATCAAGAGTTATACTGTCACTTGCATGAGTAAATTTCAAATTCCCACTCCCCGCTCTTGCTCAACTCCGCGACCGGAAACATGACGCTGTCAGGCTAAGACCCTTATCGATAGATATCACGTGGGGGTTTTCCGCCAGTGAGTGAGGGCCGGCCCCGTTGCGTCATGGGCCCGCGCGCTCGCCGCTGACCACCACCCGTTGGCAACTATAGATGGCAGTAAACTATATATCTCCAACCACCACCACCAGCAACTCCCCATCCATGGCAAGATGCAAAGTTTCTACTTGAGAACAACCTTGATATTACTAGTCCTTCTACTCACAGTAACACTCATCCCCACCGCCTCCGCAGCGTCCTGGGACCTACAGTTCCGTAAACGCCTTCCCCGCCCACTCGGCGAGAGACCTCATCGTCGCCTAGTGGATACCCTCGACCTGAAGCAGTGGCTCGCCAACCAACTACAACTACCCCTACAAGCAGGCGCAGCAGGCCCACCAGCAGTCATGGGCAGCAACCCCTCCACCAACGCCGTGCTCCCGCCCGGGGACCACCCCCAGGACACAGGAAACACCGATGGGAAAGGAATCATCCTCTCGGACGTGCTCCCCAAGACCCGGGGCGTGAACGTCTTCGCCTCGCTGACGCGCCAGTTCGAGGCCGTCGAGGCGCGGCTCGACGACGCCGCCCACAACGTCACCGTGCTGGCGCCGCGCAACAGCGCCATCCAGGAGCTGCCGCGCAAGCCGTGGGAGAATCCGGATGATATCGCGCGGTTTGGGGAGGCGCGGGCGTACGAGGGGAAGGAGGGCCAGGATCGCGCCACCCGGAATCTGGAGCGGTTTGTCAAGGCCCATGTGGTGGGGACGAGTCCCTGGAAGGAAGGGGAGGAGGCGGAGACGTTGGCCGGGGATAAGTTGACGTGGTCCAGGGTTGGGGATAAAATTCGGGTAGGTTTTTTCCATGCCTCCTCTCTGACTTCGGGTATGGGTAGCTAGGCTAATCTCGGTGTGGGACAGATTCAACCGGGTGATGTCGAGGTTGATAGTATTGCTGAGAAGGTCTCGAATGGTGAGGTGTGGGTTCTTGATGGAGTGATTAATTATCGTTAGGTATAGTGTCTGGCGGAAGGCTGGGATGTAGATATATATTGCAGGATGAGCGACTTTCCGCAGTGACGACCCTTCAAAGTAGTTATGATGAACAGCCACTATTTTCATGTATTGACATTTAGATTTTGATAGTAGTATAACATTTCTGAAAGAACAAAGTAATTGCCTTGATCTGCGTCATCACACTAAATACGAGCTTGACATTGTGAGCTTTACCACAGCAAAAGCAAGTCTACACCCTCGGAGAACGACCACATTAATAGGCTTCGCTGGAGCCATAGTTCTGCAGGATGCGCTCCTCAATTCCATCCAAGATGCAGAAGTGCTCCATGACCGCAAGGTTCTCCGCCTCATTCTGATACATCTTATCGGGGTCCTGACCCGGCTGGAAAGGGTTCATGCCGGCCGCAGGGTTCATACCAGCCATCTGTTGAGCCATTTGGCTGGCAGCTGTTTTGCATACCTTCGATTAGCACAAATCATTCCCATTACCCCTTACACAAACACAAAACCGTGTCGCATGCCGAGAACTTGACTCACCATTATCGCTCCCCAAGATAAACCCAAACACAGACTGCAGCCCAAACAGATTCAGAAAGTACCAGGAAAGACTCGACACCCATCTCACATCCAGATCCCGAGTCATCACACCGGACTGTAGCATCGACTTAAACCGAATGGTAAGAGGGAAGGGCAATTTCACTTTGCATCGGTTCCTCAAGTCAGCTCTCCAGCCCGACAACCACACACAAACGTGTAAAATAGAGAAAGAAAAAAAAAAGACTTACAAATCACAAACCCCGAAAAGAAAGCATTAATCCAGCTCATGATCAACGTCTGCGGGATCATCATCATCATGTTCCCCTTCATCATGCCCATCATCGCCTCCATGCCCGCGGGATCCGTCATCGGGTTCGCCGGCGGCTGGCCGCGGTTCTCCGGGTCCTTCAGGAAGGCCCCCTCCTGGTAGGCGGAGATGAGGTACTTGCGGCGCATCTCGCACGACTCCGGGCTGAGCACGTAGGCGTTGTTGCGGAAGTTGACGCCGCGGATAAGGCCCAGGCGTTCGCGGGATTCGGCCAGCGTTGCGGCGGGTTTCGGCGGGTTGTTCATCAGGACGGTGGCATAGTGGCGGAGGATGCCGGTGAGGATCTTGATCGAAGTCTTAGCGGTTTGTGAAAGCAGGTAGTGTAGTCAAATAGGGTTGATGAAAGCGTACCATGACAATCGTAATGGGGAATACGATCCAATAGCTAGGTCGAGTCAGCTTTAGACTTGCCCACGCCAGGTTCCTCAATTCGTCTGGAGTTGGGGATCAACAACGTACAAGAGAGCGGGATCCCGAAGGATCGTCTGCTCTACCCCCTGCAATGCCATTTTTGGAATGGTAGATGGTTGCAAGAGGAGGGGGAGGTATCGTCGCTCAATTCGAACAGAGAAGCTGAGAGAACTAAGCTGAAAGGAACGGGGAAGCTCCCCCACGGAAGTTGGATGGGGTGGCCCGGGACGGGCGGCGGCGGCCTTACTGCCTTGGCGCATGCCGCTTTAGCTTGCGAAAGGGACAGCTCGCCGCAACTCCGACAAAGACCGTCGCGTCACCTCTCAAATTATCTCAAGGAACGTCAACTACCAGAAGCTTATCCCTCTGGATTAAACGACTTGCTAGTATATATTGACCTACCCAAAAGGGGGACTCACCAATGTCGTCCGCAGAGGCACCCAAGGTGCCTGTTTATTCGAGCAATGGTTAGTTGATGCATGCATGTTTACTTCATAGGCCTGCTGCTCGAATACTCCCACTGCAGCAGCAGTAGCAGCAGCTTGCCCTCTACCTCTGTGATCAAAGCTGCATCGTTGATTGAAGCCAGTTCATACTAACAGCCCTACGATCAGATCTGAAATCTACCACCGACGATGCCCTGGCGCCGCACCTCACCACCCTCCCGCAACCCTACCGATTTACCCAAGACAACACCATGCTGAACGTGCGCTTGGTGCTGGGCTACGCAGCCGTCGCCATCGCCGGGTTCACCTTCTACGCAGACCGCATGCTGAAGTGGGAGGCGACTCGCTCGCCGTGGATTCTGGCGGCCGTCGCATCGTACTTCATTCTCAACTCCCTGCTCACATACTGGATCTGGGCCGTCGAGGCGGGCGAGGTGTTTCGAGGCAAGCGCAAGTCGGGTGAAACGGTATGTTCATTGGACCCCTGCCCCCAGTGCATGGAATAGAAATCAAACCATTCGAGAGCGTCTGTATCTGGGGGCTAATGCTTGTCTTGTTGCTACGATAATTTTAGATCATAATCCGCTCCTCCGTCAAGAAGCATTCCCCGCTTTACAAGCTCAAGGTTCAGTACACGTCCCCGGCGGGCAAGGTCATCCAGGAGAAGGAGATCGAAACGTCGTTCACGAAGTGGTTTGCGGCCGACGGGACGTTCCACATCCAGCCGCTCCGCGACTGGTTGGCGAGCGAGATTGAGGTTCTGCGGCTTGCGGCGAATGAGATTCAGAAGAAGACGGGCGGTGTTGCGAGTCATGTCGCTGTTCAGGAGGCGGAACAGGTTGAAGGGGGCAAGAGTGCGACGAAGAGGAAGTGAAGAAACATGGCGTATAAGCCCTCCGTTTTACCACAAACAGAAACATCTGGGGTGATTGGATCTGCATGTCAAAATGGCGCAACGTCTGGGGTTGTATCTGGTGTGATGTCAGGCTCTCTTTTCCAAATCTCATCTTGCGGGGTTTTCTTGCGATAGTAGCTTGACTGGGGTTTGAGAACATAACCACAACCACCTTCCATGGCAGGCATTCAACGGTATAGTCTTTGTAGCGCTAGGGTTAACCCCCCTCCCAGACTTTTCAATCCACAGATGCTCATAATCAAAACAGCGCAACAGTGTCGCATTGACAAGGTGATTTACATGAAGGGTTCATCAAGCTCAAACAGCATAGAGGAATGTAAGAAAATCTATGGCTAACTCTGCTATATCGTCTCTCGGTGCTATACTTTTGTGGAATGAAAAAGAGGTATCGCCACTGAGGGTTTTTTACGAGGCAGCTTCCAGAGTGCCCGGGCGCTCAGTGGCCTCGGCGGGTTTCACATCATCCATTCTCTTGTTCTGGATGAGTCTCTGTGTGTAACGGTCAGCTGCTGGACACTTCATCAAGATGGTGCGAGGATGTCCTACTTACCAACAGGTTTCTAAGCAAGACAACGATCGTCACCTTTCCAGTGGAAGGCACGAAGATGGAGGCCTTCTCCTTCACCTCGGGTCCGAAGTTCTGTTTTACATCAATGTCAGATATATCTGCAGTATAAAGATAGGCATCTATGGATCGATTGGCAAACATACCTTCTCGCTGGAGAAGTTGACGCACACAGCACCCTCTCTGAGAAGGCTGGTGTCGAACTTGTACTTCTCACCGGGGACACCGGAGATGACAACATCACAGAGGGGCACAACGTCCTTCAGAGTCTTGCCTTCGAGCTCCACGACCTCATGTCTGCCCTTCTTCAGGCCCTCACCACGCGTGAACTTCTGGATGCCGTTGACGTCGACACTGTACACGCAGGCACCATCGTTGGCCAACAACGCGGCGAGCGGGCGTCCCACGACCTCAGAGCGGTTCACCACGCAGATGGTGTGGCCGAAGAGACGGTTGCCGTAAGGCAATATCGTGTTGTAGATGTTCAGGTACTCGAGGATCTTGATGATGGCCAGGGGAGTGCAGGGGAGGATGCACTTCTGACGCTTGGTTTCCGGGTCCAGGAAGCGGATGTTCTGGTACATGTTGAAGATGTACCGGTGGGTGAGACCCTCTACATCTTTGGATACGTCGACGATCTGCTGCAGGTACTGGTCCTGGCGGTTGTTGAAGATGGGGTAGTATACGATGATGCCGTCAACGTCGGGATCGACGTTGGCATTGAGGATGGCTTGCTCGAGATCGTCCCGGGCAACTTCACGGAGGGAGTAGCGGAAACCACTATACGATAAAGAAACAAAGACTACATTAGCTACGACGTGACTCATGGATGACCCCCGGTGCCACCGCTTGCCGCACCGGCTCCGACATCGCAGGTTGGGGAGTCACAAGGGCGACGCTTCAGAAGAAAGAAACGGAGACGCCCAACTGAAAAGAATATGGGAAAGAGTGCTCACTTTTCGATGCAAGTCTTCTCCGTCCATTGGGCATACATCAAAGCCGCAGGGTCGTTGTTTGCAAGGAATCCGACCAGGTGAGGCGGCTTCTCAAGCATCTTCACGCCCTCCTGGACCTCCTCGAGCAGGCGATTGGCAACATGCTTGGAAAGCATGACCTTGCAGGAGGCCGGAGCCGAGTCTGTAGCAGAAGCCATCTGGGCGATTATAGAGAAATCGTGCAAACTATTCAACAAAATCGATTGGTAGCCTTTTGGGTGGATTGAGATGGACTATGGTTGGAGGGGTATGGAAGAAAATTTGGGACGGAAAGACCGCTCGCTTATCGATAAAAAAAGGCATGCCCGCATTCGGCCGCCCATCGGAGCCAGTCATTGAAGGACCAGCGCACTATTCTACGAATTTAATTAGCCTGAGCAAGAAGTATCTAGTAGTGCAGACATTCGAACTAAATTGGTGGAGAATCCGGTCCCAAGCTCTTACCACATGGAAACCAGAATCAGACAGTAATTAGAAACCGGGGCAATACGCGGCAATGTCGTGCCCGGTCCATGTCTGCTCCTTGGATGCCGAAATCGATCTCGCCCTCTACGTTTGCCCCCTTCTTTACCCCGGATTATTGACAAGATTGGAGATTGGGGCTTCGATTCCAGTCCCCACCGGAGAGACTGGCAAGCCGGTCAAAGGAACAAAAGAAATCATATTCAGGCTGCATATATGTAGACAATGGCGGGATCATGGGCAAAGACCAGCTGGACCATTCCGGATCCAAAGTCATTGAATCTGTTCCCACTACCCCTTTCATTTGTCGCGCGAAAAGATCTAAACGTACAGGATATTAATCGTATCTTTTTGCCTTCCTCGTCCCACCGTTTTACCTTGCGTCATAGCTACAGAATATCAGATGGGTATACCATCAGGAAAGATGCGGTTACATCCAGCGCCGTGTTCGACCGATCCGAAGCTCCGGGGTTTAACAACAAAACAAAACAGTGGTCTCAAATTGTACAAGCTATCTTGTCTATACAGATAGAGTCAGGATAAAAACAGTACACGGTGGACTAATCACCGAGAGGCCATTTGCTCACCTATGCGTTGAAGGACTTGTTGAAGTTGACAATGACCTCCTTGAGCTGAGCCTCGAGGTCCTTGCTGACCTGGCCCTCCTTCTCAATGGTCTCCTGGATCTCGGGGTGGTTGCTCTTGAGGTGAGCAAGGAAGTCGGACTCCCAGGTGAGGATCTTGGCGACGGGGATGGAGTCAAGGTAGCCGTTGACACCAGCGAAGATCAGGGGAACCATGTCGGGGACGGACATGGGGGAGTACTGCTTCTGCTTGAGAAGCTCGGTGAGACGCTCACCACGGTTGAGGGTCTGCTTGGTGGAGGCATCGAGATCGGAACCGAACTGGGCGAAGGCAGCAACCTCACGGTACTGAGCCAAGAACAGCTTCAGGGAACCGGCGACCTGCTTCATGGCCTTGACCTGGGCAGCGGAACCGACACGGGAGACGGACAGACCGACGTTAATGGCAGGGCGGATACCCTTGTAGAACAGCTCAGCCTCCAAGAAGATCTGGCCGTCAGTGATGGAAATGACGTTGGTGGGAATGTAGGCAGACACATCACCACCCTGGGTCTCAATGACGGGGAGGGCAGTGAGGGAACCACCACCGTGCTTGTCGTTCATCTTGGCAGCACGCTCGAGAAGACGCGAGTGGAGGTAGAAAACGTCACCGGGGTAGGCCTCACGTCCAGGGGGACGACGGAGCAGAAGAGACATCTGACGGTAGGCGACGGCCTGCTTGGAGAGATCGTCGTAGATGATGACGGCGTGGCGGCCGTTGTCACGGAACCACTCACCCATGGCGCAACCAGTGAAGGGAGCAAGGTACTGCAGGGGAGCAGCCTCGGAGGCGGTAGCAGCGACGATGATGGAGTACTTCATGGAGTCGTTCTCCTCAAGGGTCTTGACGAGCTGGGCGACGGTGGAACGCTTCTGACCGACGGCAACGTAGATACAGTACAGCTTCTTGCTCTCGTCGCTGGAAGTGTTGTTCCAACGCTTCTGGTTGAGGATAGCGTCGAGGGCGACAGCGGTCTTACCGGTCTGACGGTCACCAATGATCAACTCACGCTGACCACGGCCGATGGGGACCATGGAGTCGACACACTTAAGACCAGTCTGGACGGGCTGGTTGACGGAGTGACGGGGCAGGATACCAGGGGCCTTGAGCTGAGCACGGCTCTTGGCCTTGGTGTTAATGGGACCCTTGCCATCGATGGGGTTACCGAGAGCGTCGACGACACGGCCGAGCATCTCAGGACCAACGGGAACATCAACCTAGTTGGAGGTATTAGCATGAACCCGGGTGAAATGGCTTGGAAATCGGGTTCAAATGGTAACATACAATCTCTCCGGTACGCTTGACAGTCTCACCCTCCCTGACGAGACGGTCGGAACCGAAAAGCACAACACCGACCTGACCGGCTTCGAGGTTCATGCACATACCCTTAACACCGGAGGCGAACCTGGGGAATTGTTAGTGAACTGATATATCATTTTCTCAGTAGTAAGGGAGTGCACGTACTCGACCAGCTCCTCAGCCTGGACGTTGGTCATGCCATGGACACGAGCGATACCGTCACTATTGTCATAATCGTGTTAGTTGGATGGAATTTCCCTGATAGAGGTGTTGACGGCCGAGGTTTCGATAGTTTCTCGATGGTTTTTCGATGGATTCGATGATATTGAAGGCGCGTCCAAAATTTTCACCGGAAGGATTTCGTCACGTACCCGACGGAAAGGACACGTCCAGTCTCGGCAAGACCAGCCTCCTCCTGAACACCACGGATTCTCTGCTCGAGGATGGAAGAGACCTCAGTGGGAGAGGCCTTGGCCTCAGCAGCATAGGAGCGGATCTGCTTGGAGGCACCAGAGATGGGGCCGGGAACAGCGGCGCGAACCTGAAGACGTAGGCAAAATTTGTCAACATCACAACCACGCAGTCAAAACGCGTCAAAAGCTGATAGCATGCATTGCGATGGGTAGAGAGGCGATTGGAAATATCATTGAGATGACTTCCCCGATGTAGAAGGTCGAATTGAATGGACGATGTCGACTTGGGACAGGGATGAGACTCACGGAAGCGATTCTGCCAGTGGCAGAGGCAGCCGCAACGGTGCGGCTAGACTGCCGCAAAGCGTTCCTGAACATTGTGAAAAGGGTTCAGAGGTGTGGGAGAGTGGTTTCTCTGAAGGAGAGATGTAATTGGGGGGGGGGAGGGGGGGAAAGGGAAGAAGAGGAGAAAGGATTGTGGATGGAGGAGAGGAGAGCTTTGTCGTCGGGGTTGGGAGGGATTCTCTCTCAGAACTGGCACTAATCCTAGTTTGCCGAGCCTCACCAACCTCCGAAGCCGCCCTAGTGCGCTCACGGGACAACCCACCCGTCCCCAAGAAAACGAAAACGCCGGGTGATGTATTTATTATTTTTTTATCTGTACAGAACGATCGTCTATCTGATTTTACCTTTACATTACATCTCTATTCTTCTGAATGATTCTAGTCCCCGTGAGATAACCCTATACTTTGGTCTTCAGAAAAATAAATGGGTTGAAACATACCTAGCACGCCGTGGCTGGTTGCTTGGTTACTAGGCTCTCCCGGGCCACCTGTCCGTTCCCAATTTTCATTTCCACTGTATTTCAGTTTCTCTCTCTCTCGGATCTGCGGATACTGCTGGTTGGCTGGCTTACTCATCTGCATTTTCGTCGCAGCAACCGCCCGCAGCAGCCCGCGCACTGCAGCAGGCACAGAGGCCCTGCTAGTCTAGTAGCAGCTGCCCACGAATGCCAGTGCCAGCCAGTGCCAGTGCCACCAAACCAAAAATTGCCTTGCTTTGCTTGACCGGTTGTTCCGGTGGGAATTCTTTCCCCGTCTCCATCTCCATCTACTAGTTACTGTGCTGTCCATGCATCTACAACGGAAAAACCCTTCCAGGCGGTCAATCGGTTGAGACGTCGTCTTTCACAGCCTCTTTTCTATTCTAGATCGTCTCTTCTCTATCTATCTTCTCTCATGGGTTGCAGTTCCTTTCTTGGTGCCTCTACGGAGTAAGTAGGTTGCTGGCGTCGCTCAATGGCCCTTGGGTGCCAACCCGAACCTTGCCGCAGCAAACCCTGTCATCCCCTCCAGTCCTTTTCCGATTTCAGTAACTTACATCATGCTCCACTTTAACCTGAGGTCTAAGATTCCTACTCCAGTACAGTAGCTTGAACCTACCAGTTCAGACAACATTTGCTTTATTTACTTGAGAATCTGCAACTCACTTATGGTACCAACCATCAGACAAAGTTTTGTCATGGAATTCACTATGCATTCTCAGAACACCACTTACTGCACTCAGACGTTCCATCATCACCTTGTAGACATGCTGCCAAATTGGAAAGACCGCTATTGTCGCTTTGGAAATAGCCAGACAACCTTGATTACCACCGAAGACTAAGAACCACTTATGGCTCTCATACTGGATTTGCGGTCCGATCAATTGCTTGCCTTGTTCTGCTGGGCCTTGAATGCCGCGACCTCCTTGTTCACACTCTCATGGTACCTCTTCTTCAGCTCGGGGCGATACCCGAAGAAGAACAGAATCTCCATCCAGATGAAAAGGGGAGCGAGCAGCAGAGCCTGCACCAGATTATCCAGCAGTGCAGGGGCCCGTTTCTCGAAGGCACCATGGCCGACGAATTGCGCCAACCACGAAACCACGTGAATGCCACCAAACCAGTAGTTGGCGCTCGTGCCGTAGGTACTGAGAAGGTGATTCGCACCGGCTGCACTGCCGATGATGAGCGGCGTCGCTAGGGCACCTGCTACGGGCTCCAAAAGGATGTAAAACGTCGAGTATACTATAGCAGCGATCGTCCCAAGGTTGAGAGGCAGATTCTCAACCTGCAAAGCCTCAGGCGTGGGGATGAGGGTTGGTGTGTTAGATGCCTAGTAAGTAGCACGGTATCAGGGCGTCTGTTGCTGGATTGTCCGGGGTTGAGTGTCATACCAGGGCAACGCCAGTGAAGAGAAGTATCGGGACGCATGTCATGTGAATCGCAACATTCACCTGAAAGAAGAAAGTCAGGAACTGAGCCTTGCGAGGATATATAGAAGGACTTTGCACGTACGGGATTATTGTGGTAGGCGCCATACTGGAAGATGTGTTAGTTAGCGACTGAGTCTGTTGACCGGAGGGGCGGCGGGTGCCGCAGAATGGGCCTCACAAAGAGTAGCTGCTTCTCAAGATTCAAAGCCATGGTGACACTGAAGATGCAGGGGTCTTGTCGGGCAAGGCGAAGAGCAGTGAGATGGAGAAGACCGATATCCAGACCGAGAAGACTACTTTTCCCCCCCCACAACAAGGTGTTGCCTGATCAGGTGGAAGGATAAGACATTTTATGCCAAACCGTTCGTTGCTTGTGCAAACGTCATTCGTTGTACAGAGACTCAACAAGGGCCGAGGATATTGTGAATTCTTACACCCTTCGTCTCATGATTGTACCTCCGAGGTACTGAAATTCTCTCAGGAGGAAGCAGATTACCCACCAATCCAGCACCCTGGGCGTCATGATGTGTATGTGTACGGTAACTCCCGTTACCCTCCGCCCTCGTCATGTGACTCGGGCGAGCTCCCGCAGATCAGACACGGTGATTGTCGCTCGATTGACAGCGGAGTCAAATCACCTGGTCGCTCTTGAAGTTCCGTGGGCTGCCTTCAGTTCTCTTTCAGACTGGGGTCACTTTTTGTTCAATTCCACCTCTGCATTGTTCTTTGTTTAACACGTCTTCTACCAGACTTTACGCGCGCTACGAGTTGTTGATACTAATCCTTGAGCTTCAATTGCCATTGCTCTTTGCGCATTTAGCACCACGGTCACAATCGCTACACGATTCCTGCATATTGACTCCGTCTCACTCAAACCATCAAAGCGACTAAGGCGCTTTTCGTTCGCTCCGACCTAGACATTGATAACCAAAGCTACTGGGTACCATTCTTCGTGTCAACCGCATCTTCGACCTCCGATCATCGCGCGTGCAATCTTACAAAGCAAAAGGAAGATCAGACATCATGTTCTTCCTCAAGGAAGAAGTCAAGGTTATTACCTTGCACCCGTCCTTCTTCGGACCCAATATGCGGGAATATCTCATCACCCGGTTAAATGAGGAGGAGGAAGGTCGGTGTACGGGCGATCACTTTGTGATCTGCGTCATGGACATGGTAGATATCGGCGAAGGACGTGTGCTGCCCGGCAGCGGACAAGCGGAGTACACGATCAAATACCGTGCGATCATCTGGAAACCGTTCCGAGGCGAGACTGTACGTTGCGAAGAGTCGCCCGCACGGCTAACCTCAACGCTGACCGTGGAAATTGCAGGTTGATGCGATTGTAACCTCTGTCAAACCTACTGGGATCTTCACTCTGGCGGGGCCGTTGTCTGTGTTCATTGCGCGAAAGGTATACCGAACATTAATCGTGCGGAGAGTGGTCTGAACTTGAACGCTAACGGACTGATGAAAAGAACATTCCCTCTGACATCAAATGGGAACCCAACACGGTACCGCCCCAGTATACGGATCATGCAGACCAGGTGATCGAGAAGGGAACGAGCCTGCGGCTCAAGATCCTGGGTGTGAAGCCGGACGTTGCGGCAATTAATGCCATTGGTACAATCAAAGAGGATTTCTTGGGGTGAGTTATGGCCTGTCACTACGGATGAACGGTCTACTAATGCGCATCACTTTCCACCAGACCCTTGTAGTTTGCTTGGGATGAGAATCTCCTCTCCCTTTCTCTTCTATCCGAGGATATTGACGCCGCTGCGAAGGAAGCCTGAACTCTTTAGCCTCTTGTACCACCACTTGCATCGCTATATAGAGACCACCGTAGCATCATCGACTCAACTTGATGTCCAGACGGTGCGCTTGCTGAGGCCTTACAGAAACGCATCGAACAGTCTCTCCAAGCGGGATATCATTTGGGGGGATGGTATCTTGCTTATCCTGGCAAAGAAGCCCGCGCAGGCGGACAGGGCCGCCTCGTCGCAGGAGCATTGGTCTCGCACATGGCTATTGTGTGTATGGCAAGGCAACACAAGACAAAACAAGAACAACGAGAACGGATGGTGGCTGGCTCGGAGCCGTGATCGGCTACGTAATTTTTTATAAAGAAAAAGCGTTGTTTTGTACAGTCAAAATCAAATATGGTAGGAGTAACTTGGATAGAATTAAATAGATCAGAAATAACTGTTTGTGTTGTGGATCTACTTCTTAGTTCAGGTGCAGGCACCCAGTGTGCAGTGTATAAGCACTGTACTACACCTAGGACTACTAGAACTAAGCGAGAGAAGATGCCCGCATTGCACTCAGCTGCTTGTGCTTGTGGGGGAGTGATCGAATGCATCACCAGTTGCCGGAGAAACGGAATGTGAAACGCTGGTGTGTCCAGTTTCCATCATCGGAGCCGTGCGCAGGCAAATTCCCCAGTCCGTCCGTGGCAGGAAATGGGAGCATTGGATCCTGCTGATGTTATGGGGATTTCTCGATAGACCAGAAGGTTGACAGTGTTCTTAGGAAGCACTGATCCGTACTCTATGTAGGTAGTTATTGGGGTTGGACGGAGAGAAATGTGTTTTGACAGCATTCACTGCCTTAAACATGTAAACATGGAGGAATGACAAACACAGAATCACCCTAGAGGGAAGAGTAGTAGTACAGTCTCCGTACAGTACGCATAGTTAAGGTATTCTAACCGAAGCCCTCAGAGCATGGGCCCAAATTACGCATGTGAATCAGGACGGAGTGGACTGGGACTACCTAGTAATCGGCTGCACCTCCCCGTCCTGCACTGACTGACGACTTCCATTACACTGCCTGCGCTGTTGTCCCTCTTCTCTTTTGGGGGTCCCTCAGCAACTACTAACCAGGTACTGTACATACACAGACACTACTGCGCTACTCTACTCTCTTTCACACCTCAGATACCGACTCTCTCCTTCTCTCTCGCTACTCCAGTTCTCACTCTTGACCTCTGTTCCCCCCCCCCCACATCTTGCCGTTTTCTACTCATACTTTCCCTCCGCCAACAGCATCCGGCTGTGTTCTGTCCTCTCCCTCCCGAATCTCCCCCGCATCCCTTTACATTCGTTTCTGAAACTCAACCAACCCAGTCGCAGAAATCATGTCTTTGAAAGATGTGTACAGCCGGTTCCTGACCAACCCCAAGTCGGTTCCGTTGGCCACCGATGCGTCCCTCGTTTACATCACGACCACTACTAAGGTAGACGGTGACGCTGCGATTGTCAGCCATTTCAGCAAACAGCAGCGCATCGTCAAGACCAAGTCGGAGACCATTCTGGACGCCTTCGAAAGCACCAACTCTCTCTGCTTGGATATTGAAACTACTCTGGAATTTGTGTCTGGCGGCGGGGCGTACCTTCCTCAGCTTGACGACAATTTCCTGGCCGATCATGTCGCTACCTTTCCGACGGTAAATATGCGCCCAGTACCCGTACACTATCCATACGACTGTGCCAAGCTAAACAGATACTTGAATACATTTAGGTTCACATTGTTCGCTTCAATGCTCAGCAGCAAATCCAGAATGTCCGCATCTACTGGGACCAAGCTTCGTTACTGAAACAAGTCGAAGTGATCGGTTCGCGTGCTCGCGGTTGGCCCATTCGTGATGCCAAAGACCAGTTTCGCCTTCTTAAATCTGCCATCTCGTCGAGTCCTAGCGATCACGGACCGGGGTCAGCTTCTGCGCCTGCCCCACCTGCCTCCACGGAGGAGAAAGCGCGTGTTCCGGAGCGCCAGATCGCCTCTCCAGGGAAAAAGTACATCAAGGACCCTCATGCCGCTGACTCCCTATTTGAACTTCTCTCGCCAGGCAAGGACAGCAAGGACCGAGGAGAACCTGTGCGTGCCCCGCGTGCTCCTGCGTCTGCCCAGCCTCCAGCGCGTGACTACGGCGAGCTCTTCCTCAGTACCGAAGGTGACTTCGACAACGATACTCCCGACGCGTCGCCATCCAGAAAGCGAATTCCCCCTAAGGCCGGTACCAAGAACTTGCAACCCTCGCGCATCTTCGATCATGATGAGGCCGCCACCAAAGAAGGACTCCAGCAGATTGCGTACAAGGCTCACCCCAAACGTTACGACCACTTTGAGCTTGGCGGGGATAACAGCACTCGGGAGGTCCATGAGAAGCCCGGGCGCCCTGTGTCTCGTCAGGCCCCTCACTGGGACTTTGAAGACTTTGTGACCCCCGAGAAGCCCAAGCGTCAACTTCGAGGAGAGGAAATCCGTCACTTTGGTTGGGGCGATGATGAGCAGGAACCTACATCCGTCCCAGTCCGATCACGGGCGCAGCACCCCCGTCCTGATGCTGAAACTCATTTTTCGGTGACCGAGACTCCCGAAGAGAGGCCAGGCGGCCGCATTATCAGTTCATTCCAGAACAAAGGTTTGGGCCTTTACAAGAACCACCTTTTCGACAACAAGGAAGACGATGAATTCTCTCAGAACGCAAACGCGCCCCTCTCCAGAGTCAACAACAATGGCGCCAACCGTAAGAAGGAGCTCGAGACCCACTGGGATATGGCCGACGAGTCGCCTCGCGATAGCAAGCGCAACGCGGAAAACAGAAAGCCTATTCCCGGAGACCGTCAAAAGGCCGTTAAGGCGCTGGAGCCATCCTGGGATACCTATGACCAGTCACCTGAACCCACGAAGATGGCGCCCCCTCAGCGGCAGAGCGTAAGAAACCACAACCAGCGGAGTTGGAACTTCGGTGCTGAAAATTGATTGCTGCATCGCTAAGCTGCGTTGCGCGGTGCTTCATTGCTCAGCCCATGCATATACCCATTCCAGAACAAGACCTTTCGCCAAGTCTTGAGTATACCTTGAGAGTAAGCCAAGCGAATCCGGAGTAAACCAGGGGCCAACATCCACATACGGAAGCAGAAAAGAACCGAGAGTCTGTAGCTATCGATAGGAGGAAGTCTTATCTTTGCAAGCAATGTATCATTGCATGCCGAATCTTTGTCTAGTATTTGTGAAAGCGTTTCCCTGCATTTTGATATGGGGTCAACTACTATCCTGATTCGTTGTGAGGCAGAATGCAAATACAATCAATGTATAGTACTTAGTAGTGGAGAAAACTTGTGTGCAAGACCATTCCAAGTTACTGTACCTTAGCTGCCTGTTCTCAATCCATGTCATTGCTTATCTATTGGTTTTGGAGTCCGAGCGAGTGAGTCAACCGACTCAACCCATGCAGTAGTAAGCATGGCCGGCGCGCCAACCACGTTTAGTGAGTGAAGTTTAGTGACCTGTCGGGGTTTCCGTGAGACGGGCGGTTGCATGGTCTGGTCTAGTTCTGAGTAATTCAACTTATTCCCCCCTCTCACTACGTACTATTAACTAACTAACCGCACCGCATTTCCACTTTGCCTTTCAGTCCTGTTTTCTCTGCCAGCCAAGCTGCAACCTGCCCGATTATCAGATCCAGTCTACGTATACTTTGAAGTTTATCATCCGTCACTTCACTTGCGCGTGATTGACTCAGTCACTGTCTTTACGTCAGCTGTGTGTGTGCCTACATACTGACCGCCTTCGAGGTGATAACGGAGATAATAACCTATCCTACCTATCCTACTCTTACTACTCCGTACCCTTTGTTTCGCAAAGTCGTTTCTTCACTTCAATTCTACTAACCCCAACTACGTGCCTCTTCAGGTATCGACCAACCTGGGCTTGCCTCTTCTCTCTTCTGTCTATCACTGATATAATCTTAAACTGGATAAGCCCGGCTTGACCGGCTGCTTGCCTTTCATTCTCCCAAGTTCGACCCGCTAAGGCAGTGCGCCGATCGTGCCCCTCATTGGATCTCTTCTCTGCCTCCTCCTCGTCTTGTTGTTCGGCACTTTCTTTTCTTTTCGTTTCGATCCGTGTGCAACGCGATTCTTTGTGCCGTTGTTTTCAAGGTCGAGTCAACACTAGCCCGTGTCTTCCAAATCTGTTCAACCCCGACGGACAGCGGTCTTCTTCGGTCGCCCATCGCCGCGCGCCCCTCGATCGTACCATAAGCCCGCTCAATCGCGTTCAGCGCAACGATCGCGGTCAAACCACTGGATCGAGTATTGTTGTGCAATAAGGGCTCTTGATAAACAGGGCGGACTCTGGTTACGCTCGCAGACTTTCAGAGGGCTGCGCGCCGATTACTTGAGTCTTGTCATATTGTCCATTAGATTCATTGACAACTTGCGCCGTCGACCGGACAGACTCCCAACCTCTACAGCATCCGGACCAGATCCCTTTAGACATATTGGCGCCGAAATCCTACGCGATACTCAGCAGGTTCAATAGTCGTCTCTGGGCAGGCCATTCTTTCTCCCCCCGCATTTTTCGTCCGGGCTACTCTCGCAAGCACTGTTTCCCAGGTGATTGTTATAATATAGCTCAATATGTCTCCGACACCCCCATCCACAACCTCGTCGAGCGCTGGCGCATTTTCCCCGGAAGGACAATTCAGAGTCATCAGAAAGAGAAATCGAGTTCCCCTCTCATGTGCGCCATGTCGGCATCGAAAGTAAGCACTTGCCTCGCTGGCCACCTTTCCATTTGTGCTAACAGTGGAGTCATCAGGCTGAAATGCAACCGTGCCCATCCCTGCGAAAACTGCATCAAGCGTGGTGATGCGATTTCGTGCTCATACGCCCAAGCAAATGTGCGAAAAAAGAATGTGTCGCAGCCGTCAGCTGCGAGCTCTCCAGATGATATGCAGAATAGGATCGATCGACTTGAGAGCCTCGTCCTATCGCTTATGACTAATGGTTCCCAGTCTGCAGGCCCCGCAGCGGCCATGGCTGCGATTTCCGGCAATAGCAGCAGCACGGGGTCTGTACCGAACACGGTCGATATAGATGTGGAAGATGAAACCCCTGGCGGCCCTGAGGACAGTGATACCGAGCAGGTCACCAAGTCGTTTGGAATCATGAAGTTTGACAACAACAAGTCCTATTATATCAGTGAGGTACATTGGGCATCGGTCCTCAGCGATGTAAGTTGCCTGCGCGCACCAGAGCTATCGCCAGCGATTAACGCCTGCTTCAGATTGCGGAAGTGCGAAATTATTTCTCCACTCACAAGAAGCAATACGAGGAGCAGACGGAGAAGCTGAAGACAACCCAACTCCCGACTGACGTCCAAGGTTCCGCTCTACTCTTTGGGGCAATGAAACCCGCGACTCGGGCGGAAATTATGTCTTCTTTCCCGTCTAAATATACGACCGATATGCTGATCGCGCGCTATTTCAGCTGCTATGACCCATCAACACGTAAGTCAGACGGCTTTTTGCAAATACCTTATGTCAGTACTCACTCCGAAGTAGACATTCTTCATGGGCCCACTTTTCAGACGCAGGTAAGACTCATCTGTCCATCACCCTACATGATTACCGTATCGCTAATCCCAGCTAGTACAACAAACATTGGGAAGATCCTTCCCAGACTTGCACGATATGGATTGGCATGCTGTTTGCCATGATGCGATTAGCCATGCTCTCGTACCATCGCAATGGAGACGAACCCCCGGAATTTCGGGGCAAGTCCCTGGACATGGCTGGAACTTTCAGAAACCTCGTAGCCCAATGTCTTACGCTGGCCGACTATACCAAACCATATCCGTACGTCATTGAGAGTTTGATCTTTCACCTTCATGGTGACTTCTGTCAAACCAGGGAAGCAGATGTGTCGGTGTGGGTTCTCGTGGGAGTGATCGCGCGCTTGGCTATGAGGATGGGCTACCATCGTGACTCCAAGATGTTCCCCAATATTACACCGTTTCAAGGAGAAATGCGGCGTCGCGTGTGGACCTTCGTACGGCAGGCGGACCTGTTGTTCTCCTCTCAAGTGGGGTTGCCCAGCATGATCCGTTCCACTGACAGTGATACTGAGCTCCCTCGAAATTTGTACGATGACGACTTTGATGAGAATTGTCAAGAACTTCCGCCTTCCCGTCCCGCAAATGAACCGACGCCGATATCGTTCTTGATTGCTAAAGCGCGGCTGACGTACACTTTCGGCCATGTCAGCGAGCATACTTCACGTTGTCAGACTGCAACGTCTTATGACAAGGTGATGGAGCTTGATGCGGAGCTTCGTCAAGCTCGCGATCTGATCCCGGAGCACCTACTCGTGCGTCCTATCGAAGATTGCCCATTGGACTCTCCAAACTTGATCATGTCACGATTTGCGGTAAGTTCTGTCCTTGTTGAGATGTTCTATGCAGTGTTGACCATCTCTAGGTTGCGAGCGTGTATCACAAAGCACAATGCGTGCTTCATCGACAATACCTTGTACGAGCACGTGAGAACCCTCGATTTAGTTACTCGAGGCGGACCTGCCTGGACTCTGCAATGGAGCTGTTGCGATTTCAGTCCATGCTTCATGACGAGACTCGGCCCACAGGTCGTCTACGCAGCAGATACAACAAGCTAACCTCACTTGGCTCTTCCGACTATTTGCTCGCTGCAACCATTCTTTGCCTTGATCTTTATCATGGACAGCAACTCCAGGCATCGGGTCGAACCTCTAGTGATCCTTATTCCTGGACTAAGGAACGTCGGGATGAGATGGTAGCTGCGCTTCAACGAACCCGAGAAATCTGGGACGAGCTTCGTGATGAGACTATCGATGCATGGAAAGCTGCCGGAGCTCTGGGAGTAATGCTTGCCAAGCTGAATTTGGGATTTTCAGAAAGTAATACCGCGTCTGCATCGGCGTTTGAGCCACAGGATGAGAAACAAAGCGCCGCAATGACATTGGGGCTCCTGAGCAGTGGAATGAGTCCCATGGCTTCGAGCCAATCGACGCTCAACGACCCTGCATACAAGATGGCAGACACGCAAATGCCCATGCAAGGTGGCTTTGCAAACGCGGCAGAGATTCCGGGGGCACCTTCACCGTTCAGCGCGATGTTTGGGCAGGTGCCCGACATGCAGTTGAACCTGGACTGGGTATGCTAACCCACCAATCCCCTGAAAAAAGAATTCATGGCTGATCACAATCATAGGACGCTTGGGATACCTATATTCAGAGTTCGGCAATGGATATACCTTCACAATGGTGGCCATCGGGAGACATGCAACAGCAACAACCGGGTCAAAGTCCCCTGTCTTCAGCACAATTGCCAGCCACACAAAACAGCGGCCCTGACCGCATGCGTTCTATGCCTCGTGGCCCGAACATATTCTCCCCTGATGCTAACAGCTACGAGGGCAGCAATGTTGCCATGTCGACGGCAGGCTATCCTGTCAACCCATCCTCTCTCAACAACCCAAGTAGCGGTCCGGGAACCTAAGCAACGATGTTGTTCAAGTTCTTTCGTGTCTGCCTTTCTAGGATCTGACTACATTCAATGAATCAAAAGTTGGTCGGGAATCTGGATTTCATTTTATGTGGATTGTATTTGTGTCGTGCTACAAAGCTCTGCAGGACTAATCTTTAGCTTCACAGGATGGCGAATAGGACGCGGTTGGATTCAAAGGCTGGGCTGGGCTCTTTCTAGTTGGTTTCCACAGCTATAATCATATTCGTGTTCTACGCTCGAATCAGCGTGGATATTCGATTGAGGATTGGATGTATATTACGCGAAGACACGTCACGATAGGTCATGCAAATACTAGTCATCTACACTCTATCTTGGAGTCTCTTATTGTTGTCGGTAGTTCATGCTCGTCTGCAGATTTTAGCGTACCGTACTCTATTGAACTCGCGAAAACAGAGACAACCACAGAACGTAGAGCTCTTTCCTCCGACTATGTTCAGGTCTAGTCGGGATATTTCCTTCATTGTAGTTATTGGATTATGTAGCATGCATTTCAGGAGATACTTGAGTCACGGGCAACATGCATTTCCGCGCAGCAATTTCCCGAACTCCAGTGATCGATTACACATTGGGCATGGTGTGCTGATATAGCATCACGTGACTAACTGATAAGGGAAGTTTTCGTTGCTGAATTCCCCGAAGCATCTCCTTGCCACAAATTCTTTGGGTTGAGAAAACTTCATCCTTTTCCATCCTTTCCTCTAAAATTTAATCATTCTTCAAACACAAAAATGTGAGTCTGGTTATCACTGCCTTTCGCCATTAGTAGTATCTGTCTAACAGTATTGGATTTATTCAGGTATTGCTTCCGCCAGGTAGCCTCTCGGCTGTTGATTGCTCCTAGCAGAGTCGCGATTCGCTCTGTACCGCGCTCCAACGCGTCCAGCCCTTTGCGCCTTGCTTTTGCCAGCAGACCCGTTCAGTCTCAGCTTCAAAGCCGGTGGAACAGCGATGATGCTCAGAACAAGCCCGTAGCTCCCAGCACCAACGAGCAGTCTCCCGAGACCAGCAACGAGAGCATCGTCGAGGCTGTTTCTCAGTACGCCGATCAGAAGGAGAATTCTTCTGAGCAGGCCGATGAGCCTTTTGCCCCGGAAGCCCCGAGACGACGTTCCTTCCAGCGGGATAACTCTGGCAATGGCGAATCTGGGACCCGCAGATTCAGATCAAACTTCGCCAGGGAGGAGCCGGAGCCGAAGACCACCATTTTCGTTGGAAACCTTTTCTACGACGTCACAAGTGACGATCTCAGACGTTTCTTCATGAAGTTCGGAGAGGTGCAGAGAGTGCACCTCATCCATGACCAGCGGGGAATCAGCAAGGGGTAAGCGCACAAGTTTCGGTCCTGAATTCCAAACATTGCCGCGTGTGCAAATTCTGACTTTGGGGGTTGTCTGTCACTTAGATTCGGTTATGTGGATTTCGATTCGATCGAGTCGGCTCAGCGTGCCATCGAAGAGATGCACCTGGAGATCTACGAGGGACGTCGTATCAGCGTCATGTTCGCGCAGACCGGCATGAAGAAGCACAGGGTGTCGCCCCCTTCGAAGTCGCTCTACATCGGCAACCTGCCCTTCGAGATGACCGACCGTGATCTCAACGATCTGTTCAGCGATGTGGTCAACGTCATCGATGTGCGCGTGGCGATTGACCGCCGCACCGGACAGCCCCGTGGTTTCGCCCACGCCGACTTCGTTGACCTCGAGAGTGCGCGCAATGCCATGGAGGCACTCAGCCAGAAGATGCCCTATGGAAAGAAGTTGCGCCTGGACTACAGCTCCAAGCACAAGGGCATCAACAACTTTGGCTCCCAGCGGGAGCAGCAGGAGCAGCAGGAGCAGCCGGAGCAGCCGGAGCAGCGGGAGTAGGGGTTAAGTCGTTGTCCCAGATACTAATTCCACTTGGCCTACATTGAGGTGTAACAGTCTTGAGTGTATATCAAGTTCATCCTTTTCATGTATATTACAGAATTATGTCGTACAGTCCATTCCATTCATCATTTCCTGCTCCGTACATACCACGTAGGCTTAGACAGATGGAAACCAAAGGAAACCAAATAAATAGTATGGCACACGTGACTTCCTGGGGGGCCTCGGTATCTTTCCGCCGGTCGGCAGCGAAGCCGCGCCGAAACCCCACGTCTCTGTGCTTAGAGAGCCATCTCGGGGCGAGTCTCCTCACTTATTCCTCTCTCTCTCCCTCGCGCTCTTATCTCTCCCCCCTCCCTCTCTCTTCTACCACTGGTCCTCCCTTGTCCTATTTTCGAAACATATGAACTGTTCTACGTGAGAACTGAATAGCGCGGTCGCTGCACATATTCCCACAACATGTCGTTCCTTGGTGGCGCCGAGTGCTCTTCAGCCGGAAACCCGCTGACGCAGTTTACAAAGCATGTCCAAGATGACAAGTCCCTGCAACGTGATCGCCTCGTCGGACGCGGTCCGGGAGGCATGCAGGAAGGCATGCGGTCTAGAGGAATGATGGGTGGTCAAGATCAGGTAGGTATCTCCATGTTCCAAACACACCCCACCCTCTCCTCAGCCTCCCCGCGGGGAAGAGGGCGTGGCCCACTGCCGTGGTTCCCATTCAACTAATGGTTGCTATTTCGAATGTGTTAGATGATGGACGAATTCTCTCAACAACCCGGTCAACTACCGGGCGCTAGCCCTCAGCCCTTCGCCATGGAACAACTCAGACGTGAACTGGACCAATTCCAGAACGCACCCCCGCGGACAGGATCTCCGGGCTGGGTGGCGGAGTTCGATGCCGGTGAGCATGCACGGATGGAGGCCGCCTTTAATGGGTCCCAAGGTCCGATGCTGAACGCCCCCGCGGGATTCAACCCGGCCGAATTCGCCCGGTTCCAACAACAGAGTCGGACTGGCATGCCCCAGGCGGCTCACCCCTCCGTCGCCTCCGCCCCGTCCCCGATGCTGGCTGGTTACCAGCGTCCTATGGGCTACATGGGCATGGGGGGTATGGGGATGATGCATCAGAACTTCGGCCCGATGGCCATGCACCAGCAGCAGCAACCGGCCGAGGCCGTCACGCAGGACAAAGGCAAGGGGCGAATGGTGGAGCTCGATGACGAGAACTGGGAGGCGCAGTTCGCGGAGATGGAGACGGCGGATACCCAGACGCTGGACGATGCGGCCAACGCAGCCATGGAGGCAGAGCTGAATGAGCTGGACAGGTCAGTCCCCACCACCTCCACCTCCACCACCACCACTACTACTACCGCCATCGAGGAGAGTTTCGATGCGTTTGAAAACGTGTGGCAAAGAGTTCAAGCTGAGGCGGCAGTAAATAGGAAACTGGCGGAGGGTGAGACCGATTTCAACATCGACGAGAACCTTCACATGGGCGATATGGGTGACTGGGATGGATTCGAGACCCTCAACACGCGGTTCCGCAACCCGCAACTAGGCGAGTACCTGTTCGAGGAAGACAATGTTTTCCAGAATGTCAACGACCCATTCGAAGAAGGTGTCAAGATTATGCGGGAGGGTGGCAACTTGTCTCTGGCTGCGCTGGCCTTCGAGGCGGCGGTCCAGAAGGACCCGCAGCACGTACAGGCTTGGACGATGCTGGGGACCGCGCAGGCCCAGAACGAGAAAGAATTGCCCGCGATCCGAGCTCTGGAGCAAGCCCTGAAGATCGATGCTGGCAACTTGGATGCGCTCATGGGTCTGGCCGTCTCTTACACCAATGAGGGCTACGATTCTACCGCCTACCGCACTTTGGAGCGCTGGCTCTCCGTCAAGTACCCACAGATCATCAATCCCAAGGATGTATCCGAAGACGCTGACCTTGGGTTCACGGATCGTCAGCTGCTCCATGACCGGGTCACTGATCTCTTCATCCAGGCTGCTCAACTGTCTCCGTCGGGTGAGCAGATGGATCCGGACGTGCAGGTGGGCCTGGGTGTTCTGTTCTACTGCGCAGAAGAGTACGACAAGGCAGTCGACTGCTTCTCGGCTGCGCTGGCCTCGACGGAGTCTGGAACCACCAACCAGCAGGAGCAGCTGCATCTACTCTGGAACCGGCTCGGTGCCACGCTGGCCAACTCCGGTCGGTCCGAGGAGGCCATCGAGGCGTACGAGCAGGCGCTGAACATCAACCCCAACTTCGTCCGGGCTCGCTACAACCTGGGCGTTTCCTGCATCAACATTGGCTGCTACCCGGAGGCCGCGCAGCACCTCCTGGGCGCTTTGTCGATGCACCGGGTCGTCGAGCAAGAGGGTCGGGAACGGGCGCGCGAGATCATCGGCGGCGAGGGAGGCATTGCCGACGAACAGCTGGAACGCATGCTCCATGTCAGCCAGAACCAAAGCACCAACCTGTACGACACGCTGCGGCGGGTGTTCAGCCAGATGGGACGGCGGGACCTGGCCGATCAAGTCGTGGCCGGGATGGACGTCAATGTGTTCCGGAAGGAATTCGAGTTCTAGAGCGATTCTGCTGGCAGGAAGCATAGCGAGTTTGAATTTTTTAAGATTTGTTTTTTTTTTCATGTGGGTATGTTCTTTTGAAATGAGGGGATGGGTAGGTAGATGAGATACCATTGGTAGCAACATAGCAGCAGCAACAATTGAGACTATACAATACAGGGTTGTGCGGCTGCAGAAGATAATCAGGAATGCATGAGATTTGATCTCGTTGAAGTATGGCTGCCTCGGGCATGAAACCGGCTGTTGCTGTTGCTGTTGCTGTTGCTGTTGCTGTTGCTGTTGCTGTTGCTGTTGCGTCATGCCGATGAATGGGTTGTGCCTCGGCCATTTATTTCCATTGTTAAGTTACTTCGCAGCTGCCTATCTTTCTTTCCCCACACCCCCAACCCCAACCTTTTTATTTACTCACTGTCAACTATTCAGCCCTACATTAATTAAAATCAATCCATCAATCCATCCATCCATCCATCCTGCCAAGCTGCCAAGCTCTTAATCACACTTCCCCTCAGAAAATAATGGCTGCCGTCACCGGTGCCCAGATCATCGCCCGGACGCTGCGCGATCTCGGCGTCACCGTGATCTTTGGCATCGTCGGCATCCCCGTCGTGGAGATCGCCGAGGAGGCCATCAATCTGGGCATTCGATTCGTGGCCTTCCGCAACGAGCAGGCTTGCAGCTATGCCGCCAGTGTTTATGGATACATGACCGGACGACCCGGTGTCTGTCTCGTCGTGGGAGGACCGGGCGTTCTCCATACTTTGGCCGGGGTGAGTTGTTTTCCATGCCCTGGGGGTGCTGCTATCTACGTGATTTGTACTTCTTGGCTTTGTTGAATTCATATCTATCTATCCTTTCATGCTAACAAAGCCATCCCTTCTGTTTCTCCTCTCGTGCTAACTAAAGCCAATTCCGCCAAAATAGATAGGCAATGCAACCGCCAACAACTTCCCCTTACTGGTGCTGGCCGGTTCGGCCGAGACCACCGCAATCACCAAAGGCGCCTTCCAGGAACTCGACGCCATCTCCTTCCTGACGCCGCACACCAAGCTGGCGGTGCGCGCCTCCTCGCTCGACTTCATCCCGGGGGCGGTGAAGAACGCCTATCGGACCTGCTGGTACGGTCGTCCGGGCCCGACCTTCGTCGACCTGCCCGCCGACATCATCCAGGGTCGCGCAACCGCTGCGGCGGACCACCATCGGCTGCTGCTGCCTCCGCCGGAGACCATGCGGGTGCCCGCGCCGCCCAAGGCCAGCGGTGACCCGGCGCTGATCCTCAAGGCGGCGCAGCTGCTGAAGACGGCCAAGGCGCCGCTGCTGGTGGTGGGCAAGGGGGCCGCGTACGCGCGGGCCGAGGCCCAGCTGCGCCAGCTCGTTGACCGCACGGGGCTCCCCTTCCTCCCGACCCCGATGGGCAAGGGGGTGTTGCCGGACTCGCACGCGCGCAACGTGTCGAGCGCGCGCAGCGCGGCGCTGAAACACGCGGACGTGGTGCTCGTGCTCGGCGCGCGCCTCAACTGGATCCTCCACTTCGGCGAGGCGCCCAAGTGGTCCCCCACGGCTAAGATCATCCAGGTCGATCTGTGTGCCGAGGAGATCGGGCGCAATGCCGGCGCCGCGGAGCTGGGCATCGTCGGCGACATCTCCTTGGTCGTGGACCAGCTGGTCGCCGCCCTGGCGAATTGGCGCTATGCTCCGGTTGTTAATGCTGGTGGGGCCTCTGACAAGACCTTCCTGGACGTGCTGGATGCATCGATCAAGAAGAATATACAGACCGCGGCCCAGGCGGCTAACCGCCCGACCCCGAAGGATGCCCCGATGACGTACCAGCGGGCCTTCCACCTGATCAAGTCGACGCTGGACGAGCTGACTCACAAGGCAGGCAGCGACGTGGTGTATGTGTCCGAGGGCGCGAACACGATGGACATCTCGCGGTCCATCTTCAGCGTCGACCACCCGCGCCAGCGACTGGACGCAGGGACCTACGCGACGATGGGCGTGGGGATGGGGTATATCGCCGCGGCGCATGAAGCGTACAACGCGATGCCCGGTGCAGCATCAGGAGCTTCCTCCCCGTCGAAGCCGAAGAAAATCGTCGCCTTCGAAGGCGACAGCGCCTTCGGGTTTAGCGCCATGGAGATCGAGACCCTGGCGCGGTACCGCATCCCCGCGCTGATCTTCGTGGTCAACAACTCGGGCATCTACCACGGGGACACGACCTCGGCGGCCGAGTGGACGACGCTGCAGGATCAAACGGCGCGGAATGATACCAAGGCGAGCGGGGAGGGGACGCGGGGCCTGCGGTCGACCAGTCTGCTGTATGAGACCCGGTATGAGATGTTGGCGACCATGTGCGGCGGCCGGGGGTTCTTTGTGCGGACGGAGGAGGAGCTGGTCGAGGCCACGCGGCAGGGGTTCGCGAGCGAGCAGGTCACGGTGGTGAATGTCATTGTCGAGCCGGGGATCGGCAAGAAGATTGGGTTTGCGTGGCAGAATAATGGTGAGCGTGAGCCGCAGGCGAAACTTTAGGTTGCGCTTGTTGGAGTGGAGTATATATATCGGTATAGTTTGTATAATATCTCGCATTAGCAGTATCCCATTATGTTACTACTTCATCATCACCCTGAGTCGAAAATTTTGATTCCCGCATACGAGCGGTCTTCTTCAGATATGTAGTATGTAGGTTGATATACAACTCAATTATACCCAAGTTTCCCAGGCAGAGAATCTACCTCAAAAGCTCATCCAAAACCTTAGCCACAGCAACCGCCTTCTCCTCCCCGAACTTCCCCCCAACCACCTGCACCGTAACCGGCATATCCTTGACCAGATCGATATCGTCTGCCAGAAAAGGATGTTAGCCCAGCTCACAAACCCCTAACCCTCCCTCCCGAAGGGAGGCAAGAGAACGAAAAGAAAGCGGAAAAAAAAACCAACACTGCAGATAATTAAACCGATCCGACTCATTGCGGGGCACATGCTCGCGCCACGCCCGGTTGATCTCGCTGTCGCGGTTACTCTCTGGACAATCGACCCGCGCATCCGCACAGGTCACCGGCACCGTGACCGCGGCGTAATCCAGCAAATTCCACAGCGCCGTGTACCCGAGCCACTGGGCGCTGACGACCCAGGATTTGGGCCGGTAGCCGACCCAGGGCGTCACGGGCATCAGGAGGGCGTCGATGCCGCTGGTCGTCCACTGCGATAGGTAGGTTTCTTGGTAGGTGTATTTTGTTTCTTCGAGCTTTTCGTCTTGTTACTACTTGTGTAAGATGGGGGGGAATTCGGGCAAGGGGGAAGGTGAGGTGATGGAACAGGAACAGGAACAGCCCAGCCTACCTTCTCCCTCTCCTCGACCGACAACTCATCCTCCGCCGTCCCCACGACCATCCCCTCGATCAACGGCTCCCCGACAATGTCGCACAGGTACCGACAGTGTTGGCCGCCGTCGGCCAAGATGGCTTTCGTCCAGAGGGCGGTGCCTTCTTTGTGGAGGGCGGTGGCGGGCCAGGGGATTACTTTTCTCCCAGTAAGTATGATGACGGGGGTGGTTGTGTACGGCGGTACGGGCTTGACATCTAGTTTGAAGGGAAGGGAAAGGACAAAGGAAAAAGGGCAAGACACACCCTCATGCCCGGCATCCACCAACTTCCGCTCGACCTCGCGCATCGCCCGCGCAATCGGCGGCTGCGGCTTGACGACCCCGTCGTCGTGGATGATCGCCACCCGCAGTTTCCGGTGGGCGGGGGGCAGGGCGGCCAGCTCCGCGCGCCAGGGGATCGGGATGCAGCCCGGGTCGAGGGTCCAGGGCTCCGAGGCCAGCAGGGCGGCCATGAAGTGCTCGATCGAGGCGAGGCTGCGCGCCATCGGGCCGGCGACGGGGGGCACCATGTAGTGTTGGTGCATGCTTTTGGTATACTGTTAGTCTTTGTATACCATGCCCCCCCTCGACCCTCATATCCCAGAAACAAACCCCCACGCAGAGCAAAGAAAGGGAGTTGAAACAAACATACAACGAACAATCCCACGGAACCCTCCCCCTCGACGGACACACCGAATACAACCCCTGCAAGTTGGCCGGGATGCGAATCGAGCCCCCGATATCCGTCCCGATCCCCAGCACACTGCCCCGGGTGCCAATCAACGCCCCCTCGCCGCCGGAACTGCCCCCGGAGATGAGTCGGCTGTTGAAGGCGTTGATCGATTGTCCGAAGACGTGGTTGTAGGAGTCGGACATCTTCCAGGTTCCAGCAGAACCAGCCCTAGGTCAGCAACCATCGTTCCCCGAAAGGACAGAACATACCATAAGCGACTGCGGCACATTCGTCTTGACATACAACACCGCCCCCATCGACTCCAGCAGCCGCGCAATCGAGCTAGATTTCCGGGCGGGTTTGTTGATCAGTCCTACCCAGCCTTCACCCAGACATGAACAATCAGCCCACATTCATCCGTCCCCCCCGGAGGGGAAAAGATAAAACGAACCAACAGTCGTATCCACCCCCTCCAGATCAAACCGATCCTTGATCGACACCGGCAACCCATGCAGCGGGCCCCGCGGCCGCCCGCCCGCGCGGGCGAATTCCGCGTCCAGCCACCGCGCGCGCGCCAGCGCCCGGTCGAAGAAGATCTCCGTCAGACATTTGGTCAGCTGCTGCGCCAGGGCGGCGCGCTTGCAGAAGGCCGTCGTCAGCTGCACGGAGCTGATTTCCCCGGACGCGAGGGCGCGGAGCAGCACGGTTGTGTCGGCGGTTTCGGTCCAGGCGAGCTCTTGCGCGGTGAGGATGCCGCTCGTGCGGATGGTGGTTAGGGTATCTTGGTCTTGGTCTTGGTCTGGGTCTTGTTTGGAGGGTGTCGGGGTGGCCGGGGGGTGGGGAAGACGCCAGGCTTCGGGGATGGCGGCGAGTTGGGCCTGGCGTTTGGCGTAGACGGTGGGTTTCCAGGTGGGGATAGTGGGGATTGTTGGGGGTGAAAGGAGAGTGGTTTGGGTCATTGTTGCTTTTGCTGTTGCTTGGTGGGGTTTGTTGGTGGTTGGAGTGGTCTGGGTTGTGAAATGAAGTGAAGTTGTATAGTTGGGGGTGGTGGAGGAGTTTATGGTTATGGTTGCGGAACGAGGGGAAATCAATGGAACTGGAGCGGGGTTCATGCGGAGAAGTTTATAAGGGAGTTAGTTACCTGCCAGTGGAATGCTATACACAACTATCTCAATACTCCGCACTCATGAAAGATAGGAGATAATGATGAATCAATCGGATTGGGTACAGCATCATCACTATCTACTCCGGAGTATGTCAGAATGTATCCTCAACCACTGTAGCACGCCAATCATTCAATAGATTCAGCTATCTATCACCTGCAGATTGCCGAGTTCCGGATACCATAGCCGCCGAGATAAGATAGTAGGCCATGCGGCCATGCTTGGTATCTTCTATCGTACACCTCCTAGTTGACCCCAACCCTCACTCAAACAGTCATCAGCATGCTGGCGTTCTTGTACCATGTCAGCATCGGATTCTCCCCGTTCCGCGTCTCCGTGTCTGCAATGTACGCCCAGCGCTGCATGAAGTCTTCGTGGCTCACCACCTGCGTCAACTTGCCGGTGATCGCCCGGTACATGTCCTCAATCACATTGAAGTCGGTCGGGAAGAAGATATCAAAGTATCCTTGTTGGACCTGCGTGCCAGTCAGAAAACATTCCTCAAAACTTCGGACTAGATCTCAAGACCCGACTTACATAAGGAGTCGTCACAGGAATGGTGCGCCGCTCGAACCGAGTCTGCACCACAGGTCCATTCAGCCCGCGCACGGCGTCCGGCAGCGAGCTGAAGTCACTCGCCACCAGCCGGTGGCCCGGGAAATAGTTGTTGAGGATGTCGAAGAACTGCATGAGCCGCGTGGGGATGTACTCCGGCTGCGAGAACTGGCCCGCGGCCGGCAGGTACGGCCGCAGCGCCCGCATGTACTTCGGCCCCAGGGGCGACGGGAACGGGCGCCGGGCAGCCGCCTGCCGCACGCGCAGGAACCGCGCGGCCACCGGGTCCAGGTAGTCGCGGTACCATTCGTGGAACTCGCCGTTCGCGTCGATCAGGACCCCGCCCTGCTGCGGCTGTTCCGTCTTGAGGTCGTAGCGGATGATGTCGTGGGAGAAGTTGTCGAACACCTCCAGCGCCAGGAAGAAGCACGGCGAGTGCACGTAGGTGTTCCAGTCGAAGATCGACCGGTTGATGATCTCGAGGCGGTCCCGGTGGCCGGCCGACTCGGCCGACGCGATCAGGTTCTTCAGCTGCAGACTCGCCAGCGCCGGCGAGATCTCGATGATCTTGTACTTCGTCCGCTGGTAGACCTCGTAGTCCACCTCGCGGATGTAGTCCAGCACGTTCCGCATCATCGTGCCGTTTCCAGCGCCCATCTCGTAGATGATCAGATCGTGATACGGGTACAGCGTCAGTTTATAGTTCGACACCAGGTACCGAGCAATCGTCTCGCCGTAGTAGGGTTGGAAGAGCTCCGTCGGGGTGTGCCACAGCTGGCGGGCGACGTCGGGCTCGGCTTCGTCTAACCGGTCCTCGAACTCCGTATAACGATTCCGTAGCATGGTGTGAAACGCGGGCCCATCGGCGATGTCGTTGAAGATGAAGGGCTCCCCGGGGCTGAAGATGGTGGCATGTTGGGAGAAGTAGCCGTATTGGAGATTGTACAAACTGTCTGTGAGAGAGAGCACGCGAGTATGTGAGCGGTTGTCCAGTCGCAGCAGCCAGCCATCACGACGACGATTTTCCTTACCATCGATGAACTCCCGTCCCCACATCTTCACCTGCCGCGGCCGCTCGCGGTGATGACGGAGTTCTTTGGCCGTGACCATCGGGTATTTCTGCAATTCCTCCGAGATGTCTCTGGTGATAAAGCGACGCTCGTTCCAGATCGTACCATCATTGGAGGCTTTCTTGTTGGCGGGGAGTTTCCGGAGGAAGGGTCGACATTGTTGACGGTGGTGCGGACGGGATGGGGACAGGCGTACGCAACCCGGTCGGCGCGCGGAGAGGGAAGGAGTAGATTTGAAAGATTGACAGGCGGGATGTCGAAATAACTGCCGAAGCAGTTGATTGAGGACTGGAGAGTCCATGGGAAGGAGGTAGATGATCGCTCGTGGGGCGGGGGCGGTAGCACAAAGCACTCCGTCGAAAAAGAGGAGCAAGAGAGAAAGCTCGGGGAGAGCACGAGACGAGATGGAAGGGAAGACGGACGGAGAGACGGAGAGGCGGAGAGGCGGAGAGGCGGCGGTCGCGCAACGGTTATTGGTCCAAGCTTTTTTTCCGCCCGCCATCAAATGCATCAAATGCAATTAACTCGCCCTCGTCCATCACCACTGGACCCCTCTCTTCTTCGCAATCATGGATGATCATTCTCATCTCTACATTGGAACTGCCTTCGTCGCAGGTGTTCTTCTTACCATTGGATTCAAGGATCTGGTGTACCCCGAGTTAGATCAGCGCATCCATGAATATCTAACCCGTCGTCAATCCCAGCCCGCGACAGACTCCGAGGACCTCCTCTCAACCGAGGACCTCTCCACCGAGACTCTCGCCGCAAGACCAGGTCCACCGGCCATCGTCGAGGGCATTGAAGGTTGCATCGGGAATACTCCCCTCTTTCGTATCAAATCCTTATCCGATGCGACGGGCTGCGAGATATTAGGCAAGGCCGAAGTACGTCATTTGCCTATCTACCTCAGATCTACGTCTTGGGGACAGACAAAGTTGCTCAAGAAGTTGCTGACTTGTTATCTAGTTTCTGAATGGAGCTGGACAGAGCTCCAAGGACCGGGTTGCGCTCAGCATGATCCAAATTGTATGGCAGGTCCTTTCCATGACATACCGGGATAAATGTCTCACACTCCATACAGGCTGAAGAGCACGGATTCCTAAGACCTCATTCCGGGGACACCATCTACGAAGGCACTTCTGGTTCCACGGGAATCTCCCTAGCCTCTTTGGCACGAGCCAAGGGTTACCTGGCCCATATGTTCGTATCAAGTCGATAGCCACCGCATAGTCATATACTGACACAGCCATAGCTGCATGCCATCCGACCAGGCTATTGAGAAGTCGAATCTGTTGTTGAAGCTGGGGGCGATAGTGGACCGCGTGCCACCGGCCCCCATTGTCGAAAAAGACAATTTCGTCAATCGCGCACGCTCGCTTGCCCAGGAACAAACTGCATCCTCCACCGCCAGCGGAAGAGGATTCTTTGCCGACCAATTCGAGAATGAAGCCAATTGGCGAGCCCACTACAACGGCACAGGGCCCGAGATTTATGCTCAGTGTAACGGAAAGTTGGACGCCTTTATTGCTGGAGCGGGCACAGGTGGCACCATCTCCGGTGTGGCACTTTTCCTGAAGCCGCGCATCCCCAATCTCAGTGTGGTCCTAGCCGATCCTCAAGGCAGTGGGCTGTACAACAGAGTCCGTTACGGGGTCATGTTCGACCTCAAAGAAAGAGAAGGCACCAGGCGACGTAGACAGGTGGACACCATTGTCGAGGGCATCGGGATCAACCGAGTGACAGCTAACTTCGAAGCGGGCAAGGAGCTGGTTAACGACGCTGTTCGGGTGACCGATGCACAGGCCTTGGCAATGGCTAGATGGCTTGTAGAGAAGGACGGTTTGTTCGTGGGTAGTAGCAGTGCCGTAAACTGTAAGTCCTTCCCAATGATCTTATGTTCACCGGATTGTGGCTAAACCACCCTACTACAGGTTTCGCTGCCGTCAAGACAGCAATGAAGCTTGGCCCCGGCCACAGAATTGTGACGGTTCTGTCCGACTCAGGCTCACGCCATCTCTCACGGTTCTGGGCGAAGGCAGGAGACGTCGGGGGCGCGGTTGATACCAAGCTTGAAGATGTGTTAAATGCCACGGACGCCACGGATGAGGAGTAAGCGCGTGATACGTCAAGCCCACAATTAATCCACGAAAATTAGCCGGGGTCCACAATGAAGGACAAAGACACGGCAAGAGCATTGAGAGGGTTGATCCCTGGAGAGGTGGCGAAGGCCCAAAAGCTACTTCCACTTATGGTTACTGCAGCTAGTGTCTGGCAGGGGGTAGAATTTGTTCAGCTGCCGCCCAATCCGACAGTCTGAGATCTACTCGGTTGTGCTATGATAGCAGAACGCCATCGCTCGCTTCATCCGACCTAGTGGGTCACGACACGAATCTCGGGATCTGGGAACTTGACGTGCCGGGTCCGATCGGCCCCGCTGACGGACTGCATGTCAGAATCGGGGTCCTGACTCAGTTGTGGTTCATCTGCTAATCGATTCGTCGGGACCGATCAAGCCTGCTATGGTTGCTGAAGAGCATCACAGTGTATCGGTGCCAGCCCAGAGCTGCAACAACTCGAATTCGATCTCGGCATGGGGTCGGCCAGGTAGTCCTTCGCGGATCGTGGTCCAGCTGAGGCCCTGTTGCTCTTTGAATTTGTCTAGAACGGCCCGCTCGGCCTCCGACCAAGGCTTGGATAATGACGGTGGATTGGCCCGGCGATCACTCCAGTGATTGCGATTCCATTGGATAAGCGAGGTCAGCTTGGTGTGCGGAAGGCAGTCGAGGATCTCGTTCCATTTCTTCCCCTGTACTTGTCTCATTGTGATGATCAGTCTCGCTTCATCGGGCTGGATGACATTTCGAGCACGTTTCTTAGTAGGAGTAGAGTTATCATCCACTAGTTCGTTTGCGCGCGAACCTGTTAGAATGTTTGGTGTGATAGATGTGGTAGTCTTGGACTTCGACTTCGGAGTGGGCTCTTTGACCAGGGTATCGAGTCGGCGGGTCACCTCAGCCCGATCGTGTTGGCCGTCGAAGGGTCTGGAGGCAATCTCCCTGAGATGGGTTATGTAGCCGTGGCGCACGAAAACCTGCTTGCAATCCGAGCATTGATAGTTCAATTCACGCGGTGTATGATGTTCTTTCACGGGTGTCTTTCCGCGGACATGGATGCTCCGCTTAGGAGTCGGCGACGGTTCGTAGTCTTCCTGCAACGGGTCGTCGGACTCGTCTCCTTCGGGGGTTTCTGCGAAGGACCAGTCGCAGACCACGGGGCTCGACTGGATGACTTTCCGCTGCAGTTTGATTTTCATCGCTGCCCCTGCCTGGCTCTTCCGTGGAGCCCGTCGCGACTTCTCAGGCAATGACCATAGGGAGCCAGCTCCCGGTGGAGACTGCGAGCGAACGCGATTCACAGTGGACGCCGCCGGACGTGACCTGTTCCATGTCGGCGTGGAGAAGCTCGCGTCGATTTCAGGCACCCGCCATAGCTCCTCCACCGCCTCACTGCGCCTGTTGCCGTGTGATTGGACGGTTGCTTCAGCCGCAGGTTTTGCTTTTTCGCTCACGAGTTTGGTGGTGGTGGTGGTGGTGGTGGATTGATCCAGGATGCTCTCGATGCGTAGCGTGTTATCCAGCAAGGAGTCCACACTAGCCCCATCGTCGTCGTCATCCTCATGACTAGGTAGGTTCGAGTCACGTTTGCCGGCATCTTCATCCCCAGGCGCCGGGTGGTGCTGAATCCGCAACCCAGCCTGCGGTTCCTGGATCGACGGCAGCACGGGAGATACAGGCCGTGAGCGATCATCATCTGGAGCCTCATAATTACCCAATCCCGCGGCCTCCTCCTCACCCGACAAATGACCAGGGTTTTGAGGTAGGATTCCTTCCTCCGACGCGACAGACCGCTCCTGCTCGAGTCGCCGCCAATCTGGTTTTGTCGTTGCGAAACGGGTGTCATCATTTTCGGCTTCTTCCTCCTCCCCCGCCTCTAGTTCTTGGATATGCCCATTATTCACAATGATTTTGCCCGTCTGTAGATCAATCTCATCGCCCACGTCCGTAAAGTCCCGGCCGTATTTCTCGAAAATGCCCTCGAAGATGGACTTCAGGCGTTGGTCGTTCTGCGCCCGTGCTTCGTGGAGGTCGATTTCTTCTCCGCCGTCTTCCTCGGGTTGAACTGGTAATGCGAATCGGGCGCGCTTGGTGGGTCTCTCCATTTTTTTTGTCGAGAGGTTGCAAGCTGGTATTAGCTATCGGAGGTTTGGAGAGTATGAGAAGAAGTGTTGAGTGTCGAATCTGCGAGGCAGAGACGCTGAATGTAGGAGTTTTGGTTTGTGCAGTCGCGACTTTTATGAACTGTTAGCTTGTGTTTCTCTGGTTGTAGTAAGAAAGGGAAGGTGCACAGTTTAAGATAAGGAAAGAGTCAACGAAAGGAGGAGGGGGAGTATGGCCTACATAAGACGGTCAATTCTTCAACGACAGTGAGGTTGCAAATCGATGGCACAAGGCAGAGGACTAATCGCTGGTCAAAGAAGGTAGATAATCAAAATCATCGATCGCCAGCCTGGGTTCTGGTGTGGTTTGCCCTGAGGTAAAGCACGACCAATTGGTGATATTCTTATAGTGAAGGTTCGCCAGCTCTTTTTTGAAGGGCCCCCGCGGACGACGCCAAAAACACGCGGCGCGCGCACCCGCAATTCACCACCACCGCCGGGTGCCGCATGACGTCTCGTCTGCCCCTGCCGAACCGACGGTTACACTCGACTTATCAGTCACTTACACCAACAACAACACCCTTGATGTCCATCTTCCCCCAGCTCCTCTTCTCCACGCTGAGCTGTTACTCTCAACTTATCCAGACGAGGATGAATGAGAAGTTGCGGTCAACATCTTCGCAACCATGTATTGCCAGAGCTGCCGCACGCCTCTCAAATTGGACGGCTCTCTCGAGTCGCTCAATCCCGCTGCCTTCGACCTGCTAGTCGGTAAGTGCAGTGATCACATTCCTCCACCATGTGTATCTCTCCAGCACTGAACTAAACATGCACGCCTTCTGTAGGCTCTACGGGTAAATCCGTCCCAGAACATGGCGCCCACTCTTCATCCAAGCCGAGCTACCCGCAAGAACGACGGGAGCTCTACGACCGGGTGTCCAAGCAATCCACGGCCCCCGTGTACAACCGAAGATCCATCCCCCCTCCGCGGCAGGCGGCTCGCACTCAACCCCATCCTGCGAGACTCGGTCGCGGCGATAGCGGGAACATGTCGTTCGTGATGCTCACCGAGTCGCAAGTCGGACCGCCTCACGGGATGATCCCCGGGACGAATGGGAACGGCGACGGCTCGTCACACGGCATCAGGCCCGGCGGCAACCCTGCAGGCCATGATCACAGTCGAGGAGGCATCGACGACGGGTCGTTTGCAGACCAGGTCGAACGAACCGCCCGGCTGTTTGACATCATCTCCGCCCGTTCGGACATTGATCACCCTATCTGTCTGGAATGTACCGATCTCCTAGTGGAGGGGATGGAGAAACGGCTGGCAGACGCGAAGAAAGAGCGAGATGCATATAGCTCTTTTCTGCGCGATCTAAAGTCCTCGGTCCCGACGACGGAGGAGCTGGACGCTGCGCAGCAGTCTCTACAGGAGACGCTGGCTGCGGAGGAGGCTGCGTTTGCGGAGCTTGTGGCCCTTGAGAAGGAAAAGGCCGCCTTAGATGAGGAGATCGCCGGGCTGGAGGATGAATCCCGTCAGCTGGATCTTGAGGAAGAGAAGTTCTGGCGGGATCGCAATGCCTTCGCCCTCACGCTTTCCGAGTTCCAGAACGAACGCGATGCGCTGAACATGAAGTATGACCATGATTCCCGGCAGCTGGAGAGGCTACAGAGGACGAATGTCTACAATGATGCTTTCTGCATCGGGCACGATGGCTACTTCGGCACCATCAACGGGTTGCGACTCGGTCGCTTGGCTAACCCGTCGGTCGACTGGCCAGAGATCAACGCTGCTTGGGGACAGACGGCTCTGCTACTGGCGACCATTGCTAGCAAGCTGGGGTTCCAGTTCCAGGGGTATCAAATCAAGCCGATGGGCTCGATGTCTCGGATTGACCGACTCGAACCGTCCCGAACATCTCCGGCTCAATCCGTGATCGGTGGAGGCAACCCAGGGGCATCGATGGCGCATAAGGTCACCACGCTGGATCTGTTCTCGTCGGGCGAGCTGCCGCTGAACCTGCCGTGGCTTCACCGCCGGTTTGACGCCGGAATGGTGGCTTTTCTGGAATGTCTACGTCAACTGGGCGAGTTTGTGGAGAAGACTCCGGTGCCGGCGGCCTCAAATCGGCGAGGTCACACGGCCACCGCGGTGACCGGTCTGAAGCTGCCATATGAGATCAAAAAGGACCGGATTGGCGATGCGAGCATCAAGCTTGGGTTCAACCAAAATGATGAGACCTGGACGCGTGCTTGCAAGTATACCCTCACCTGCTGCAAGTTCTTACTGGCCCATGCCAGTAATATCGCTAGTGCAGGCTCCAGTAACTCGGCTGCCGTGGCCGCTGCGGCCGTGGCAGCTGGAGAGCAGGCCGCCAGTTCTCCTACCAAATGAGACCATGTGGCTAAGTAGACCGACGCCGCGGCCGGAAGCGAGGGCAGCCCTCGAAGCACTTTGTGACTAGCAGTAGTCTAAATCCATCCATCCGAGCCAACGCTGTCTCAGGTGCTAGATACAGTCGTTCAGCGAAGTGGTATTGGTCAATTCCTGGCCAGCTCGCATTAACTGCCACGAAGTCGCCCTGCCTGGCGAGTCATTGCCTAGCCATTGTCCCCTGCTAACTGTCAATGGCAACAGGGTCTTCGGTGCTGCTTTTAGGCTCAATCTTATTCTGCCTTGCGTTGTACTCCAGTAGCACCACCGTGAGCGATCGTTGCACCCATTACGAATTGGCAAGTGATCAGCACCACCGCGCAGTAGTCGGGCTCCATCGACCGTTTACTGTTCTAAGGTTTATGTCTCTGGCCAACGGCCAGATCGCGCGGGGTGTCCTCCTCGATAGGAAAAAGAGAAGCGCTCGACGCAAGCTCCGGTGAGAGAAGGAGAAAAGGAATTTCCTAGCAGAAAGGAGGATCAACAAAAAAGCCGGTTTGGAGCGAAGAAAGGGTTTGTCCGTAACAGGGATACGCAGTGGGCCGCTGCATGGCTGATAACTTTTTTTCTGGATGATATTCATGGGACTGGCTGCTGGCTGCTGGCTGCCTTGGTCGAGCAATGTGAGGAAGGACGGGAGATCGTCCTCTAGTCTGCTTGCCTGCCTGACACATTTGATCTGTAGCGACTCGCGAGACAAGAGTTTCTTTGTCTGGATAGTAATAGTCTCTCTGCCTCAGTTCCTCACTCTTCTCCTCTCCCTGGGTTTCACAGGAAGGACAGCACTCGATCCAGCACTGTACCCGGTGATTATTTCTTTTGCAGACTTGGACCTGTAACCCTCCAATCAGAGCTCGCTTTGAAGAAGATAGAGTATACTCAGGTAGCCCTGTCCCTTTTTTTTTCTTTTTTTTTTCTTTAGTGCATAGCAAGACGAGAACAAAGAAACCCGAAAACAAAGACAAGCACTGGACTATAAGATAACAAAGCCACAATTAGTCTCTCGGATGAGATGGGATATTACACTCCGCGATCGACTAGTGGATCAGTACGTAGCGATCATCCAACTCCTTATCAAGAATTCCAACAGTCGGGCATTCGGACATCTCTGTAAAAGTATAGTAGTGATTGAGCAAGGGAATGAACATTTCGGGCCGCGTCAGAGAAGGGGGGAACACGAGGGCGATTCTGTTCTAAGGTTCTGGTGTTGCAGTTCCTTCTACTGGAGGGTGGTATGGAAGTGTGTTTCTGGTAGTTACTGTACTTAGTACTTACTAAGTTATCCCAAGTAAGTTACTGGTCTGATCGGCCCCGGAATCCGATCTGGAGATCTGCTACTAGTGACACCAGCCCGGGCGCCGGAATCAGGTCACCTTCCCCTTTGGGGGTGTTTGTTTGTTTGATTCCAAGGTCAGTCAGTCGCCCTTTGATCTCTTTTGTTCCATTGTTAGAAATAGACTCAGTTCTTGTTTCTCGTTCTCGGAATCCAGTACCTAATTCCACTAGAGAGGGCCAGATAACTTAGAGAGTAGTATGTCCGGAAAAGTTACTGGTCATCCGGCCAGCCCGCTACAATAACATACCGCCTGCACCGGTGCACCCACTCAATACACAATCGGTCTAGACTGCACTGCAGGCACTGCACTGCGCAAAGGGATCCAGACTACTACACTTACTAGGTAGTTACCGTAGACTGTAGTACAGTTTCAAGTTTGAATTAGATCTCCATTCACCCAAATACAACAAAGTACATAGTACAGTACAGTTACAGCACCGTGGAGTGGATACGTAGGGAGTAAAAAGCCCACAACACGCCGTGCACAAACCAACATCTGGGATCTCATCCCATCCCAGTCTTTACCCCGGTAGAGTAACTCCCCAGACCTGCTCACAGATGGGCGGAGTAACCTTCGGAAGACCCGATATGCACCTCCACCTAGACTATAGTACTTAGTGACTTACATACATACATACTCAATGTACTGAACCAAGGTAAAACATACTAACATGCCATGTAGCCCGGCAGCTATCGGCACACTCCGTACACTACTCGGTACCTAGATCGCGATCTCGACACACTCTGGCCTCGGTGACTCTGCCGGTTGCCTTTTCCTGGCTGCAGTATGTTATGTTGGCTTCCGGCGGGGAGAGGGTGCGTGAGAAGCCCTTGCTTGGGGTTGTGCTTTTTTTTCTTGTGCTTTGGTGTGGTGTGGTGGGTTGGGTTCTGGATGTTTGTGTACTGTACTGTACTGGTGGCACGGAATGCTACTTGGGAATTGGTTGGTCGTTTGGGTGCGATGGTTGTGAGGTATCGGTGGTGGTGCTATGGGATGGAGATTGTGGTTTAGTGGAGGATGATGCATGTGTTGATGGTGTAATGGGGCATTGGGGGGGCCTTTTTGCTTGCACTTTGGGGTTGTGCTTATGCGGTTGGTTGGGGTTGCTTCTTAAGACTGTACTTGGGTATTCAGGAGTAAGGTCTTTAGTTGGTTGGAGATGACGGACGTGACGGTTGTTAGTATATGGTTAGTTTCAGTAACAGGTAGATTGGCCCGTGATGAGATCTGAGATTGTGCTTGGATCAGTGCGGAGAACCGATTTAGTACTTGGTGACAGGCGTACCGCGTCGCCGCGTGTAGTACTCCACGAAGCGAACGAGGTACGGTACCCCGGGCCTACTGTGGTGGTGGATAATATAAGCAGGGCAATTAAAGTCGAGAGCGGGAGCTGGACATCTCACGCGAGGAACAAATCTACTTGTAACAGTCGTGGGTGGGAAATGGGCGGGAGGGAGGGATTTAATCTACTGTACAATGTGAGGAGGGAGACCGGACGAGCCAATCAATTGCATGGCCCTGGATGTCTACATCCAGTACACTCAGCCTGCCCTTAGTGTCAGTCTTGAGCGCCGTCAAGATTTACTCGACGCAGTAGTACTTTAGTCTCTCCCTCTTCTCTCTTTCTCTTTCTATATCGCCGTCAGCAGCAGCAGCAGCTAACAATCAATGCAAGGCAGAGACACGCTGTGGCTGACGCATAGTTCTTCATCATCAGGAACCTGAGTGTTTTCTCACCTTCTCGGTGGTGACCACCTTACCTCATACAGATACAGGGGATGCATTCTCTGACTTTACCGAACGTCCGGCGTTGACTCTGGACATGGACACCTGTGTAGCCGACACAGGAGACAACCGACCGAAGCATGTGAGCTGAGTTGCCTGCGGCCGAGCGACAGACTAGGTAGACACCCAGTGGATAGCCTCTTGGTCGTTTCTACGGCATTCTTCCGCGTAGGACCTCACGCTACCCTCCTCCGCCCACCCCCGGTTCCATTCTATCTCATCTACCGTCAACCGTGGCCGGCTACTGGCCAGCCACTGATACTTCGGCCGGTAGGTCAATTCGTGAATGCGCGCGAATGTAACTCCCCTCCATGGGAGTTGACGAAGCCCCATCGGCCGCAACTGCCTTCTAAGAATTGAGTTCTGAAGGCGAGCACAGGTAGTATAACTGTACGAGAGCCCTGAGTGTGTGGCACATGGCCGCCCATCGGCCGAATCCCTGGAATACTTCTGACTGGTCAGTGAGAAGAGAGAGAGAGAGAGAAAGAGGCAGCTCGCATCCGCCATCAAGAAAGGCCCCCTGAGGGTTGGAAGGAGAATGTAAAACGGAAGCAAAGGCCAGGGGAAACAATAGCTAACTTCTCGCAGACCGAGACCCATGCTTTCGGGGGTGGAATGGCCTGACCCTATGACCTTTCCTGCAATGCGGTATCGGAAGATTGATGACAGGATAGCCGTTAATATGCTTCCTGACTTGCACCGGTACTAGACATGAGGGTAGGCGCAGAGTGAGTGAGAATTGGCGATGGGCTGTCATTGTTCTCCGGAGAAGGCATCCCCACACCCATCCTCTTTTGTTAGTCTGTGCTTTGGTCGGAGACCCTCCATGCGCCTGGCTGATGTCATCAGTTACCAAGTACTGTACCAAAAGTCCCAACTCTCAATTTGTTGTTTGTAGATCTTGCAGCCAAGCAGGCTTTCATCCATAGTCTAGTGGCGAGATTAATCACCAAAGTTGGCTAGAGTTGAGAGGGAGGGGGCGAAGAAAGACGAAGGACACTGATGGGTGAAGAAGAACTTACTTTCTGCTAAGTACGAAGTAAGGTACGGTTAGTGAAGATCAAGAACGAGGATTGCCCACTGCACCCCCTCCACCCCCGAGCTCGAGGAGGGAAAGAGTAACTTAGAGAATAATGGATCATGGGTGGATGGATGAATGGGTGAATGCCAAATGGATGACGGATTGGTGCTCAGGCCCATTCGGTAAGCTGAACAGGAATGGCCCACTCATCCATTCACTCACTAACTTACTGAGTACATACGTACTGTACTGTCTTGTATTTTTGCATCCCCGTCAAGTCTTTTGGTTCAATCAACGGGCGGACCTCCGATCCGAGCCGCCAACATGACGGGCCGAACGTTCCCTGGTCTGTTCCAGTTCTCGAATAACTTATTTAGTAGTGGTTACAGTACATCAAGTTACTAAATACGGTTGAAATGACGGGGGGGGAGGGGGGAGTGGATGATGACGACAAAGAAAATGACTTACCAGCAGTTTTTATTGAATAATACTCACTTATCAGTCTCTGCCGGATCTGGATAGCGCCCAAGCCACAGCGACGATGAACCTGAAGGTTTTGCTCTTCAAAGCTCAGGCCTCATTCGAACTCCCCATCGGGGCATGATCCCACTTTGCCACACCGGTCAGAGGCTTCCCTCGAATCATGCCTGACAGCCTCCAATGATTTGTGTAGCTCGCGTATGGCAGTGATGGTTCATCTATCGGGAATGATAGAACCATAAAGATTTGAACATGCTTGTGGTTGAAAGTAGGGATGAGTATTCATAGAAACCGACAGTGGGTGGGTGCAGTGCTGGGTCGCAGCGTGTGTCCAGGCCCTTTTTGCCCGATTGGGCCCTAGAGCGTTTCGAGAGCGCAGGCTGGATTCTGGCGCCAACCCGACCAGGATGAGGCTAAGGAGTAAGTACTGGATGCATAAAAAGCACTGTGCTTTGGTTCTTTTGGATTTGGGATTTGGGATTTTCATCCAAGGGAAAGGAATCTGCGGAAGAAGCACGCGCGACGAGCAACAGCAACAGTCAGGTAACTATAGCAGCGGAATTATGATCCCCAGTAGATGCACCTGCAGAATTGGCGCAGGACTGTCTGTCTGGAAGGGATCACCACCATCTGGGTCTATCTATTCTTGTCTGTCACTTTGGAGAGGGTTCATGTTCCGCATTGCCTCAGAAAAAGAGGGGCGTGAGAGTGGTTGTTTTAATTGTTTGATACCCAGCTTGAAGGTTCTCATGGTGGTCTGAACTTTTTTTTTTTCTTTTTCATTTTTCCTTTTCTCTTGTTCTTCCTTCCTTTTCTTCCCACCACTACTACCTATTTGCCCATTCCTCAGACATCGGCAGAGTGGACGAAAATGGTAAGAGGTCTGCCGTCTGTCTGTTGCTCGACATAGTAGTAGGTTAGGAGACAAGTACTGTACCGTGGACATACATACGTACGTATGTTTTCAAAGGATAAAGGGGGGCGGCGCCGCAGACAGACGGGAACGTGACAAAAGTACACGGACCATGTCCAAAGGGTCCGTGATTGGGGCGCGGCAGCAGGGATCACAACATCCGCGGGCTTTTCCAGCAGCACCAGCAGCACGTCGCCGCATCAGGCAAGCGGATGTCTTTACTGCCTCGCCAGTCAGCAGTCGTACTTTTTATCTAGCGCGGGTAATAGTGGCCCGGGGTGGATCTTACCCCGGCGGCGAACCACTCCCCGGTTGCCCTGTGCCTCTTTGCTTTCCATCCATTTCACATCTCCCCTCCCCTCCACTTGATAGTCTACTCATGTACTACTCCGTACTGAGCTGAGATCTCGACATACTCCAGTATTCAATGAGATATCGACTGACATACCTTATCCATTGTACAGTACAGTCCAAGTCCAGTAGCCTTCTCGAATCACCTGGGACCTAATTGGGTCTAACTCACTGGCTTCAATCAGCCGTTGAATTCCCACCGTGAATGGATGAAGGAAGGAAGGAAGGAAGGAAGGATAGTTGCCGGTCTCTGTCTGTTGGCAGCGTTTGAGTGGAAGATAGACAGTCATAGTTCTGGCTCAATGTCTGTAGCTTAAGTGAGAAGTCTGGATGCTCATTACGAACTTACTTCCTTCCAGACAGTTCGTAGTTGGTGGAAGCAGGGCGGTACCTACAGTATTGTAGGTACAGTCAGTACCTACTCATGCACTCAGTCCATACAGTCCAGTCCAGTCCAGTCCAGTCCATATGTTAGTAGTTACAGTTCATACCGACCTGACCTGACCATTGCAGTGACTGACTGGGGTCATAATTTCTTTTTGCTTTTCTATTTTTCCCATCGCTTTTCTGGGTTTTTCTTTTTTCTCTTTTCTCTTTTTCTTTTTCATTTTCATTTTTATTTTCCTCTTTTCGCTTTTCTCTTTTCCTGTTTCTTTTTTCGGTGTTGGTTCCGTTTTCTCGAATTGCAGCATGTTCAGAAAGCAGTAGCAACCGGAATAATCAATAATCTCGTGGATTATATGCTGAGGGAGTGACAGCTGCTATCACCACGACTATTTCCGATTTCTATCCACTCTTGGGGTTTCCTCCAAGCCAATCTCGCTGGTGACTGGGGCAAAGCTTCATCGCCTTGACTGTTCGACACCGTGACACCTTCAACTCTTCTTTCTTCTTCCCCTCCTCCCCCCTCTTGCAAGTTCCCTCTTGATCGCCTCCAAAACTACTATATCATTCATTGTATCTTCCGTCCATTTTCCCGGCCGCAACTGACTCGATAACGCTTTCTGTCATTGCATCGAACCACATCTACAGAATCGCTCTTAGTGTCTACTTCCTTCTGCTGCCACGACTGAAAAGATCCTCTTTCGGCTCGCATTTCCGCGCTACCGCTCCTGAACGCCTCTACTTCTTCTCCCTTACCACCATCACCACCATTATCCACTCCTCCGTCCCCCCTCCAGGTTTTGGTTCCAGAGTCCACAGTCCGCAACAGCCCCGTTCTTTCAGGACAAGTAACTGTGGTGGAGGCGCAACTTTCAAGCCATCAATTCGAAAAGGGTCCAGACTGGATCCAGAGTATGAAAGGCGGAGAAATTACCCAGTCACCAATTCAGGATGAATGGTTCCCTGCCTCCCGTTTCTTCCATTCCCTCGACTACCTCCACCATCAACAACAACAACAACACCACCACCACCACCACCACAACAACAACAGCAACAGCAACAACCTCTTCTACTTCCACGACCGCCAACAACACCACCACCACAACACCCACCCCTACCATCTCTTCTTCGTCTTCTTATAAAAACAAGTTTAAACCTCGAAAATCTGAGGATTGGACTTCTTATCGGGAGATCATTCAAAGTCTTTACCGCGATGATCACTTGAAGCTTCGTGATGTGAGGCAATATATGCTCGAAAATCATAGCTTTGAAGCATCGTAAAGCCTTCCGTTTCCTTTTCTCAGTCTTCTCCCCTGACAATTATCTGCCTGTCATGCTTCCACTTGCTGTTTTGACTCTCCCCGACCCTGCCAGTGCAAGAGCCCCCCCCCCCCTTTCTGCATCTGTAACAAAGATCGAGAGAAAGGATGGGACAGTGCGCGCTGATCGTCCTCGCTTTTTGCTTTTTCTCCCCAATTCTCCACCCATGAGTACCACTCATTTGACAACCATCCCCTGACTTGGAAGCTTATAGAGAAAAACAATACAAAGACCGCCTGGCTGCGTGGAATGTTCGCAAAAACATCAAGGCCAAAGAAGTCCATATCATGCTCCGCAAGCAACAAAGGCGAGCTGCAGAGGGCAAGCGGACGGCGTTTCGAGTGGCTGGCAAGACGGTCGACACGAAGCGCATCTCCCGCTTTGTCCGTAGATATGGCACCCACTGGGAATTGGATGATGCTCGTGAGAGCGTCCATCCACATACCATCCACCCGAGCGTGGAGAATCAACCAGCGATTCCGCAAACGCAGCAAGAGTTACACCAAAATCTTCCCACCAGCCCTGAGCCAGGTAAGCTTTTCGGTCCCGAGTGACTTGTTGTGTATGCATCGCTCATGCTGCGTCACAGAGACCCCTACAGACATCGAATACTACACACCGGAGCCCGATGAGAGAGCTGTGACCCTGTCGCCCTCGACCGAGACGCCATCTCGTTTTCGTGAGGAAAACCCCCCGCCCCGCCCTTGTAGCATTTGTCCTACAGTGCTCCTGCCATGCCGTTTGCATATCTCAACGAGCATCGCACTTCTAGGTAGGAGAGCTAGACTAATCAAGTAAATGCAGACGATGAAAAGCTCAAGCTCGAGCCACTCCCCGAGCCGGAAGTGGACCATACCCAACCTCTACCGGTTTCACCTACTCCCTCCGCGCCACCCAAGCCGCTATCCAACCCCCTCCCTGATGAAGACTACTGGAAGGCGCTCGATGTGTTTCAAGGCCAACTCTTGACTCTGTCCAGGACGCTTGACCAGACCATGTCTCAATTCACTTCTCCGCATGACGATCTATCACAGTAATGTCCCTTCTTCGAATCGCAAATACCCCTCTGGCCGATGACCTGCCGCTTCCACCAGTCACACCTTCGATGGTATGATATGTATGTTTGGAGACTGTCCGGCCCTTGATGCACGTTTCTCACCTTGCTGCTCTAAGCCCAGGCAATTCAATTAGCTTGTCTTGTGCTTCAGATGATGTTGTGATCACTACCAGTTCATCGCCACTTCGCGTCCTCCATCACTCCCCACTGTCATACTTACAACTTCACATGTCCTTTTTTCTTACTTTGCAAATTGCCTACTATATAGAGCATCTATGGTCTAGTTTTATTGGGAGAAAAGGTCTAGTGTAGGTCTTGGTACACCTAAGAAGATTAACGGGAGACATCTGGTCCGAGCTGGTATGTTTATCTAATGATTGCTACTTTAGTCACTGGCTGCTACACGGTTGCCTCGGCCTTCTACCTCACCCCTCTGGACCGAGGCACTATTAATGACCACGTTGAACGATTCACCAACGACTCAGCTGACGGCCACCATTGATGGGTAGCCTAGAGCAAGGACACCATTAGACCCAACTTGATCGCGTGAGGTTTTTGGCTTGTGAATCATCTATGATATGCACGCGCGAAGGCTACAGTTGCAGTCCACTCCGTCCCTCATTCCGATCAGTCAGCGCCATGCAGCGACCAACCTGGCTCTTCAAATCGACAGCCAGCCTTTGCTGCGTGCCGATCGAGATGCCAAAGTTCGTGTCCGGCGTGAGAGTCTTCTCACCATGCCTTGTGCTCCACACCAACTTACGCCAAGTCTCTGGACATGCTGCATTTCCCAAGAGAGTTGCTCGAGCCGTTTCGACGCACGTTTAGGCTCCACTTAGGGAATGGGAAACGATGCTACGATTGAAGGGTGGTTGGGGAGGATACGCAGACAACAGCCGACCCGGACTGAAAGAAGATTGATGCAGACATGCAGACTACAATCGACACTTTCCGAACAACTTCTTACGTTCGCCTCAATCTACCTCGCGTCTCGACCTACACGAATATCTTGCGATAATATTGGCATGGTCACCGCTGAGTTATTCACCTTTTTTTGAGAACCCACCGGAATCAGCATGCCCGAAGTCTTTTCGCCAGTCCGACGGACGCATCGACGCATGATAGTTCCAGACTGAACCATGTCAAGGGTGCATGTACATTTGGACCTGAAATCCGGTTTCTCGCATAAACCAAGTCCGCCAATCAGCTTGCAGCAAAAAGGCAAAAGGGGGTCTACACATGTGGGAGTGGACGGTGTGGAGGAGGGGTGGGATAGTGCGCAAGTCTAGAAGTACAGGGCGATAAAATGGTACTTTTTTTTTGCGCTGCTCCGGCGGCAGGTGCTCAAGCCTGCCTCCCACCCAAGTGCAACAAACGGTCTATACACATATATACTGTACTAGAGGATTAACCCTGAGTACCTCCAATGAATCGCTAAAGATAAATCAATGATGGTTGGTGCCAGAGAAAAGGCGTCTGCTGAATTGAATACTGTCCCGTGCAGTCAGTCCATATATGTATTCAGGTAAAGACGATCTGATCGTCGCGCCCCGAGCTGCCGATCAGTGGTCAATCATATCTGCTCGGTGGGAACAGGGAAGGGTACTTTATGTCGGGAGAGTCTGGAGTAGAAAGGGGGTCCATGTACCTTGATCCCACCAAAGTGATCAAAGCGAGTACTGTAAGTACTATTGATAAAGGACTGCATTCTTTACCCCCCTCCCCCTCTCCCTCTACCTATCTACCTACTTAGTACTGTGTTGTACTCCCACCACTGTATACGAACTAGTAAGTACTGTACATAGTAAACAAGCCACCATACGCAAGAGATCGCCCTCTAAGCCAGCCCCCACTTCAGATCCCATCCCATGTACATACATGCCCTTGGGTGGACAGAGAATCCCAGCCCACCACACGACCACTACGATACTACCCGGGCCATCTAAATCAGGCACTACCTTAAGGATTCAATACCTGGCCTGGCCTGGCGTAAGTAGCCACTCTCCAAGACAGGAGGCAAAAAGGAAACCACCCAATCCCCAGCAGGGTATGGGTTGCATTATCCTTCAATTCAATCAGATGTGACAGGACTTGCGGCCACTGGGGCGGGGCATACATAGCGACTTAAGTTGGTACTTGGTTGCTCGGGGAATGATAAAGGCATTAACGTTACTGGGGTTGGGATTTCTCGCCCTGTCTACTAACGTATACTGTGATTGTGACGGACTGACTTGTGTCTGGGTACTGTACAGTACCCTACCCTACCCTACCCTACCCTACCATAAAAACTCGATTCGGATTGCACTTTGAAGGTGTGGGTGTGGCTTTGTTGGTGTGCACTTACGGCCACCTAGTGCGTGCGTTGTACAGTACAGTACTCAGTAGACCAGAGCTGGAGATGTGGTTCGACGCAGACTGTCAGTTGGAGATGGATATGGATATGGATATGGACATGGACATGGATATGGACATGGCCAGAGCCATAGTATAAGTAGAGCGGGAGATATCCCGGTACAAATTCCTAGGTGGCTTGGAAGTCACTTTCCAGGATTGAGTGGGCTGTACTGCACTGTACTGTACTACACCCAGGGCTTAGGTTCTAATCCGCCACCGCCACCACCACCATCACCATCACCATCACCACCCACCCATGCACCAGTATCGGAGGATGTCACACATTTGTGGCTGTCAAGTGGGGTGCAGTGGGATGATCCCATCCCGCTTGACTTCCCAAGTATACCCCTCCCTCCTTTCTTCGGTACTGGTACCCATACCCAGTTCCAGTGTGGAGAATACTCCGATATGGGATGGATTTTGCCTGGGGATATCTGTACTGGTCATTCCCGCCCATCCTCAGGGTCTTTCTTCTTCACGCCAGAGTCCCAGGTCTTGAGACTAGTACGTAGTTGGGGGGATTCCATGAGCTGCTCACTCATTGTACTGTACCGGTCCCGCGAGCACCGCTACAGCTACAGCTACAGTCATCGCACCGATACGCTCTCTGCCCGCAAGACAAGTCTAATCATCGCTTTCATCCAACACGATGGAAATGTTTGAAGCTTCTCGCAAGATAGACACATTTTTACTCCCCTGTACACCGATCTGGACACCCAAGGAAATCAATGGTGAGAACGACAAGAGCACAAACCAAGTGCGGTGCGTCTCTTCCGTTTCGCTGAAACAACTAGTAAGAAGTACATCTGAACCATGAACCATGCCAAACGCTGGAAAAAAAAAAGAAATTCCGTATAATGACACCGAGGAAACGTCATCAATCAGTCAAGTCAATTAACCTGGGTTACGCCCTCGGGCCCGCATCCACGCAGTCCGTGCTGTCTGTGAACGAAGAAAAAGATTAAAATGCCGAGCAGAAGGTAACGTCGAGATTAGGAGTAGAATGCGCTCTTCTGGAAGCTTTCCGGCGAGATATCGCCCATCTTGCCCTTCAATTCGGGCTTGACGGTCGCGTCCGCCACTTCGTCGGTCACGTGAGCTCGTAGCGAGTTGCTGCGGCTGGTGGTTTCACTGCCCGAAGTGATGGCCTGCTGCTGGGGACGGCGCTGAATGGTTTCCAGGTACGGTCCAGGGAGGTATCCGACACGACCGTCCCGGGCACGGCACCGCCACCATTCCGATGCGTTACCCATGGGGTCCGACTTGCTGAGGACAGCGACAATGTCGCCCTTCTTGACGGCCAGGTCGATCCCAGAACTTTCCTGGGCCTCGGGAGTGTAGTCATACAACACGCGGCAGAAGTCGAGCTTGGAGGGATCAAGCGGTGCCTGCTGCGCGGGCTCGCCATTCGGACCGAGCATCATCTGACGCCGCTGTTCTTCCTGTGAGCGTGCGAGCGCCTTGATGAGCTTGCCCATCAGGTACGGAAGACCGAAGACGGCGATCAGGAACATGAAGAAAGGCTTCTTCGAGGGCTTCGGCGGGGCGGGGGAGCCATCGGGCAAAGTCGCGGCAACGGAACGGCCGTTCATAAAAGCCGCGAATGCAGCCGGCGTGAGAGCCGTAGCATCCACCGGCGGCGGACGACCGGTGATCTTTGCGATCAAGGTTCTGAACCAGCGGATCAAGGTGAAGATGCCGAGAGCAGAACCCAGGGTGTTGCGGAGGTTGCCAAGCTGCTCCGCGACGGAGACCATGGCTTCACATAACATCAGCATATGTAAGTTCAACAAAGACAACGATGCAACGTACCGAAGAACGAGCTGTGGGTCGCCATGTAGGTGCTCTCCAGCATCTGGGCGAAGCCACCAAACGCACCGACAATGCTCTCGATCATTTGGAAAGTCGCCTGCGTGCTTTGACTGAAGGAGTTGGTCAGGCTGTTCGGGTCGTTCGGATCTCCAGGCATGCCACCGCCATACATCCCTCCCATGCCGCCGTACATCCCGCCGTAGCCGCCATAGCCGCCATACATTGACCCCATCGTCCCGAAGCGAGAGTATGGTGAAGAGTAGGCCCCGTAGCCACCATAGCCTCCGTAGGGACTGGTGCCTAGCCGAGAGGCTCCATATGGCGAGTAATTGGATGCTGTGCGGTTCACGACGGCATTCAGAGTGTCGGGGCGAGATGGGAGATCAGGAGTGGCAGACGTGGAGGTTGAAGCGGCGCCGGTGGTTGCGGCCGAGGCTGGCGAAGAGGCCGTCATCGTTGCTGGACCAGCCGTGGCGGGTGTAGTGGTTGCGACAGATCCTGATGGTGAGGTCAGTAAGAATGCACCGATCTGGATTGAATCAGTTTGTGGTGCTCCCTCCTACCAGCCGTAGCGCCGGCTCTTTCCCACGGTTTGGGTGGCGAAACCGAGGCCATTGATAAGCGGGAATGTGCTAGTACCTCAACAGTCTCGCATGGGCAGTGACCCGCGAGAGACCGGTCGGGGGCGAGACTGGGAGTGGGATGCGAAGTCGAGAGGATGGAAAAGACAGTAGTTGTTTTTGAGTGTGGGGGGAGTGGGTGGAGAAGGAGAGAGAGGGAGGGACGAGAGCGAGAATGAGAGAGAGAGAGAGAGAGAGAGAGCCAAACGTGAAGATGGAGTTGGGAGGGCGGTGGAGGGAAGAAGGTGGAGGGAAGAGAAGGTGGAGTCACAAAGAGGAGAAAAGAACTGCCGCTGCATGTGGTCTCTCGGTCGGTGGCCCACCCGCTGGGCCGAGGTTGATTGATTTGATCTCTGTCTGGGGCTTTCTCCGAGTCTCGGTTCATCCACAAACGGTTTACTTACTCATTCTATACTCTCATGCTATACTCATTCTCTAAGATTCCTTTCGTCTGCATTGCATTGGCACAGGTCAATCAGGGATATCTTATTCTAATCAGCAAATAACAATTGCTCCATCCCAGTAAGTTATAATACAGTAAGTGGCATATCGCCAGCCAATCCAAAACTCCAAACGATGCAAAATCAACCATCCACCCCACAATATAGGCAGAAAGGAATATGTTTACAGCATTGACCACAAGCAAGACAGCCTACAACTCATCGCGCGGGGGCATGGCCGCTCGAGGAGTTCGGACCTTCCATGCGCGTGGCGGCACCGGAAGTCCCAGCCAATAATTCCACACACGGGCGACCTCGATCACGATAATCTCAACCCTAAAAGTTACGAAGTTAGCATGAGGACAATCCTGTTAGGTTGAAGGGCCTGCTACTTACAGTGTCTTCGGAACGTTGGCCCAGCTCTTCAGCACATAGACATATGTATCCCAGACAAGGGAGAATTCGGCCTTGATATCGTCCCAGAGGGTGTCGGTATCGCGCCTTTCGCGAACCCGTTCCCAAGGAAGCTTCTCGGAGATATACACAAAGTCCTCATCGTCGTTCTCGTAGTAGAACGTCGAGCCACCGTCCTTGAGCAGGCGCCGGGTTTTCTTGTCGCCACGGTCCTTCGACGCAATGCTGGCGGGGATCGAGAACACCTCGCCGTCTCCGACCTCCATGGCACGGTGAAAACTCCGGACTGCGGCGACACTGTGGGAGATGCGACCAAGGGTGTTGATCAGCGCCACCAGTTCGGTCCGGCGTAGCAAGGGGTTCTCGCCGTTCTTGGTCTCGTCATATTCAAAGAGCACCTTCAAGGCGGTTCCGTATCCGTTGACCTGAAGCTTGCCCCAAAGACGGCACTTGTCGCACCCGACACAGTCCATCAGCCGGCTAACATTGCGGAAGCGATTGCGGAAATCTTCCTTCAGACCAAGGGCGCTTGGGTCTTGGAACATCATGTTCTCATCGAAGATCTGAGGCCGCTCGGCAAGAGTGGCAGTCAACCTCGACACCTTCTCCCGGGTTTGAGTATCTTGTTCGGGGTCGCTGGTACAGTAGTTGTAGCTCTTCAGGTGCTTCTGCAGTTTTGCCACAGCCCGGGACACCAGAGCGTAGTTGAAGTACAGGTTGGAGATGCGCTCGGGATGGTCGTGCAAGCGCTCCTTGAAACATTGCAGGTTGGGGTGCCACTGCCCGGTCGTCTGGTTGAGGTAGTCCCAGCAGAGATGCGTCGAGATGGAGGCATGCATTCCACTGATGAGGCGATGGAAGACCCGCTTCTCAAGGCACTCATTGTCTAGGGGAAGACGATCCGGGCGCTTCAATTCCTGTTGTAGCACACTGCGGAAGTCGTTCATGGCTTCAAGATTGCCCAGTTGGGGGTTGGGCGACAGCTCCAGCTGGGAGGTTGGCTTGAGGAAACAGTTTTCGCGATAGATCGCATCCCAGACCTGGTGGGCGCCCATACCAGCATAGCCAGTAAATCGCTCGGGGTTGTCCACCAGACTGACGTAGTCTCCTTTGCTGCTGGCGCCCTCATCTTCAGGGACGCAGTAGTCTCGCTCGTCGCATTCATCATCGTACTCGACGACACAACTTTCTCCCACGTTTTCACCCAGCATCCCTTGGAGCGGACGATCTCTGGGTCGCTCTTTTTGCTGCCTTCGACCTGGATGGCCGGCCTTGGGTCCCTCAAGTTTACTCAGCTCCTCTGCCCGCCATGTTAAGGGGATGTCTTCCTCCGATTCGATCGTATTCACTGAGCATGCGATGTTTCCACACATGCTGTTGGCGTCCGACCAGAAGGGACAGACCTTGTTGAAGAGGTTGAGACGGTAATATGAGAAGAAGTCGGTTTCTTGGGTGATAGACTGGAGGAGAGGATAGACTTGATCGTTTAGTGCATCGAGGGTCGTATAGGAAACACAGGCGTCGGACACCATAGCGGTAGGGTCAAGCTAGACAAAACACGATCAGTCTCAACGCCTCTCAATTGACTCGCGAGAAAAGCCGGCTAATTAGCCAGAATCCAGAAGCGTATTGCGACTTACCGCGCATTTGTCATGGCCATACTGTGGGCCGGCTTTTCCCTCATGGCTCTCAGCGTTGATGTGCGCAGAGAGGGCAAATACAGCCAGATAGAAAAGTTTGGCCGCAGAACGCATCTTGCTGCGGGTAAAAGCAACCGAAATCAAGAAACGGGCGTGTGGCGGAGGCAGAGCACGAGCTCTTCCGAAGCGACAGGCAGAAGCGAGATCCCAGCAAATGTGCTGAGGTCGCTTTCAGGTATGTGTTTGTCAGAGATTCGAAGTCGGGATTGACCTTCACATGAAGATCATCAACGGCAAGGGCAAGTCGAGCCGAAGTACTCCGGGGGAGCAAGTAAACAGTTTCAGGCCAAATGACACTTTTCGCGGGGCCGAGCCACAAATAATTGCAATCAGTGTCACCACCAAAACGAGAGTTAGATCAAGGACTGGTGCGCGATCACTAAAACAAGGGAGAACGAGGGATGTGAGGTCAGTTAGTCCAGAAGAAAAAGAATGAGAGAGAGGTTGCAGTTGCTGTTGCGAAGTGGACAAGCTGTCCTCGGTGGCGGCGCGGAGTTGCATGACCCGCAAGTAGTCATCAATAATCATAATAATCATAATAAAGAGTGAGAGTCCCCTTCCGACGGTTCGATAGCGGTTTATCGCCGCCCGCCTTGCGCCTCGAACCTCCTGACTCCGGTGCCTGTTGGTCTCTGCCAGATTTTCACATTATTAGTTATCCTGACTCCTGATACCAGAGAGTTAGAGTATGCAGTTCCTTCCGGCCAAGTGAGCAAACCCACCCGGATCGTACCTCAGCCCATACTAAGCATGCCACCCTCACATACATCGATCGCATGGACCAATTTGATTGGGATCCTGTGACAAAGAAAGGAGGTATTTTCGAGCATCGACCCGGGCATGAAAACAAGGAGGTCGTTTCTATTCATTGTACTCCCATTGTTAAGGGATGCGTTCAGGGCCAAGACTAACACCCGCCCCCACCACTGACTGGTATTGTTTGATTGAGGAGAAGGTCTTCCTTGATTCCGTGATTCAGCTTCAGGACTTCTAAAAGAGAGGACAAAACTGCAGAAATAGTAATGGTGACTGACGCATGACCCGGTACGGAAGATCATTGACCAGTGTATGTATGTACCGGTGCGACCCGTCTTAATAGAGTAGCATGCGGCACAGTACACCTGGCATGAGCTACATGACCTTCAATAGCAGCAGCCGCTTCGACTTGGAATGAAAGCTACTGAGCGACCCCGAGTTCAAGCTTTATGAGGTGTCAGGTTGGTGTATGGTTACTACTAGTGTCTCCAGGTTTGGACTGGTCCCGCCTATAGACTAACTACATTTCCATTAACTACTTTTCCCTCCGGAATGAGCGGTGTCAAATCAAGTGATACGTCGTCCGATTTTAAACTGTCAGGTAACCAGACCGGCACAGGAGTCAGGACCTAAAACTAAAACTAAAACAAAAACAAACGAAAATACATCCCGATGCTGACCAAAAAAAAAGTCCTAAATCATAAGAGCACCGACTGAAGATGCCCCTCCAGACGCTAACTTCGTGCTTCAACTCCGATTAAAAAGCATAGATTGTCGTCGTTCTTGTTCACCGGAGCCATGGCCGGTAGAAAGAAGACAACATGGTATATATAAATACAGGGGAAGCAAATGTATTCAAGTTCCCTCGGGGGATAATGTCACCAGACATTTGCGCGCTCGCGATTCAGCCTGGAATCGACTCAGGAGCACGGTTGTCACAGCCGGTATAGTCCGGCGGGAATACTTGTAACTTGACTCTAGTTCGTTCCGCGACGGTTACGACGACGAAGACTGAATCTCTTGCGCAGACTCGCAAATGGGTTCGGATGAGGAGTGTTGTAAAAGGGGTCATTCTTGAAATCCTCATCCTTGAATTTCTGCCCAATGATTAGAGACTGGTCATCCACCAGCGCTGCGGTACGCAAGACAAGTGACTTACCATGCCGGGACAGCGCATAAAGTTCCCGTAGTCGTTCATCATGTTGTTTCCCTCCTCGTATTCGTATGTATGGCCCTGAGGGTCCGTGTGACCTGGGGGGTAATGAGCCACACCATCGAGGGGGCGATGACTATCGAGGCAGTCCACAATTTTGTCGTGTGGGGTAGCCTTGAGGGCCTCTGCGTTAGACTCGCGCAGGGCGGCCACCGGGCTGAGCTTGTCGATCACATTTCGCTCGGGGTAGACAGCATCGTAGGGCCCTTCATGGTGGTACTGATATACTCCGGCGTCGTCCAGGCGATCAATAACATCGGGGTTCACCAACTGCGAGTTTCGAGAGAACCTCGGCTGGTGCGACTGGGTACGAGCGTGACGTTGCGAGCGATGGCGACGACTGGGACTCGCTTTCCTACGTCGTTGATCGACAGGCTGATGTTCTGGAGAACCCGAATAGTGGACTGAGGGGAATGAAGTAGAACGTTGACGGTTCAGAGTCCGGGCGGGGGCTGGGGAGGAAGACAGGAATTGTTGGTAGGGATTAAGGTTTCCCATCTCAACTTCCGTATCGAGCAGGTTCATTGAGTGCCTGGGATGAAGGAAGGAGGACTCATGTGGATTAGGAAAAGATGGGGCGATGACCGCTGCCATACTGGAGAAAAGTAGGAGTAAAGAGAGAAAGAGATGCAGAGGAAGAAAGATTTTTGAGCCTTCACTCAAGGATATTGAACCGGCGTGCTCGAGAGTAATATATATCGGTCAAGATTTCGAAGCGTGCCTATAAATGTATGTAGGCACCTAATACTATTGATCACTAGTGAATAGCCTGCGTGATGCAGCCCGCAACTCAAAACGGGTGTGGGGCAAGCGGTGAAGTCGTGGCAGTTCGTATAGTTCAATAGACTGTGAACCTTGAGTCGATTGTCTAACCCGCAGTCACAGGAGTCACAGGAGTAACGGGGATTGGTGGGAGGAAGAAAGGAGGTTGTGTCAGGAGAGTAATATTGGTTGTAGTTGGTCGTAATGGGAGTTGTAGGCGTGGAGGTAGGGGCCGTAGTATAGTAGGAGCAGGAGTATGTGTGGTCGTTGGGGGGTGGTCGGAATCTTAGGGAGAAGAAAAAAGAAGTTGCAGAGCAAAAAGAAAAGAAGCGATCTATCTATAAGATGAAGTAAGTATTCAGAGAAAAGGATCATCCATATCAGAGTCATCGGCATCGCCTGTCAGTATCAGTTCAGTCTCCTCATCATTTTTCTTTTGCCGTTCATGACGTGACAAGTTGCGTATGCTCCGTATGATACTGCGCAGTGCTCCCGTGGATCCACGCGATCTGGGAGGGGCCCTGGAGACGCTTATCGATAAGCCTTCCCCTTCCAGTTTAGCTGCAGGATAGGGCCGGAAGACTAGACCCGTTCTGTTGCATCGGACCCTTCTCGATGATGAAAAGAACCCACGAAGGAACAGAGGCGAATTTCCGATGCCTCGCCGCACCTCTCCGGTCTAGCCTTCATGAACCACTCATCGTGGTCGGTGCTGCGTTAGTGACTCTACGGGACTTCCGGAGGGACTCTCTGGATAGCCCCTCCCCCTCCTCCTCCTCCTCCTCCTCCTCCTCCTCCTCCGAGTGGCTCATGTGGTACCTTGGTGGCAATAATGCTGCTCACTGTGCGATCTTCCGTCTGTCGTCACGTCCATATGCTCTGACTGGCATTGCTGGCTGACTAACGTTGACCCTCTTCTGACGTTCCAATCCTGTTGACATCATCACCAGCCATGTTGGGCACGACGCACATGAGAAAAATTTTCGATTTCTAGCCGAGCCAGCCATGATGTTACCTTCCAGTTGGGATAGCTTGACATCAGCGAGAGAAGAGGTCTTCGAGGTTGAATAATGAACCGCTCGCTTGATCCGAGCCCAAGCCCATCAGGGTCTTCAACCTTAAGCTTATCGCTAGTATGCCGGTAGTGTCAGCGGCTCAAGTCCAACCATACTCAGGTAGGACAAGTATAGCCCGGCTGAAACAAGTTTTGGAATTCTTTGGGGTGGCTCAGCTCGGCCACTGTAGCAATGCACGCGCCATCTACTATGATCTTCCCACTAAGTTAATGCCTGACCTGTCAGTGCAAACTCGATAATCATTGGGGTGGAGAATCAAGGGTCTGGAGTCTAGAGTCTAGCCATGCTTCGTATTCTACCCTGCACTGAATGATGCATGGAAACCGTTGTTACACCGGGATCAGGGCCGGTCCAATGAATCATACATGATTCCAGGTACAAGGAACAGGGTAAGGCAGGGTTTTCATGATGCACTCAAGTCGAGAACACCTTGCATATTCTCTACGCATCATCCGCTTATGACAGCTACATTGCTTGCTTGATGGAGAACCAGCGGGTAAACCTCCTTTCCATGGCTCCCATCCCGGCGATTGAAGTCTGGGCCCAAAACGAAAGCTTCTCGCTCGCAATAAGAAGAAGTACATTTAACTGTATATGCACCCACTCGTGTTGCCTATTAGTTTAGCTGCATCTGAGCCTCGATGTTTGATATGTACGCTGTGGGACCGTCACAGATTGATTTACCTCCATAAGCTGTCTCGGTAGTTGAAGAAGGTGGCCTAATATGAGATCGCAGACGCCTCATAATCCAGAAAAAGCAAGCAGGATATAAAAAATTAGCACGCTTATTCACCACCAATAGCTTGGGGAAAGAGCACGTTGGTTTTTGACATGGCACTACTTCCGCTGCGGAATCAACCACCGTACTACATAGACGTATCATAACCGATCCCGCTTATTTCTCCCGCGTTGAACGGGGCTGGTGAACTGAACTTAAAACCTTTAGAGACAACCTATCCATTTCGCAGGCTAGATCCGATCAACTCTTGTCGCGCCACGCCGGACGACGGTGGATTGTGCTGGATATGGCCCTAGTGCAATACTCGGAGTCAGAATCAGAGTCAGGGTCCGATTCAGAGCCAGTCCGCGCGTCTCAACCACCCAACAAGAAGCTCTGTACGACCAAGCCACCGCCCACCCAATCCCTACCTCTTCCCCCGCTACCAGCAGCTTTCCATGACCTCTATGCCTCAAGCACACGGGTCAGTGTCAGGGATGACCCAAGTCTTCACGGAGGTCGTAAACGGGTCATCCCTCATGTCGAGGGCAACTGGCCAACGCATCTATATCTGGAATGTAAGTCGTCCGTCCGTCCAACCAACAACCACCACCACTACTTCCTCCTATTGTAGGCTGCGAATACGAAAGAGACATAAAAAGCTAATACAAGAAACCCCGCGCGCGCGTCACGACGATCAGGGTACGCGTCCAAAGCCGAGCTTACTCTTCTGAGCGATGTGATACTGCAGATCCAACAGCAGCTGCTCCGCGGGAGCAAAACAAAGCTTCACAGCCTGCTCCATAGTGATCTTGGCGCCCAACTGCCTCTCCACATCAGTCTATCAAGACCGGTGGTGCTCCGGACCGAGCAGCGTCAATCCTTCCTGGAGGTGTTTCAATCCGCCTTGAAGCAGTCCAATGTCGCACCGTGCGTATTTGCTCTCCTTCTGTGCTAAAATCGGCACACCGTGTTTTTTTTTTTTTTTCTGTCACACAGTCTGACACCCTCACCTAATTGCCCAGGTTCGACACCACAGCAGTTAGTCTGGACTGTGTCTCCAACTACGAGAAGACGCGGTGGTTCTATGTCTTGCGGGTGCGCACCCCCGAGGATGACGAGTTGAACCGTCTGCTGAGACTGTCGAATCGTGCGCTGGCTCGATTCGACCAACCGCCTCTGTACGAGAAGGCTGTGCCGTTGTCGTCGGCGGAGACCAAAACTGCAACACCAGCAAAATCTTCGCGAGCGAAGACGAAGCCTGAGACCGAGACCGAGACCGAGACCGAGATCGACTGCTCGGGTTGCTTCCACATCTCCCTTGCCTGGAGCCTGACCGAGCCTTCGACGGCAGAGATAGAGCAGCTTGCCAACATCGACCTGCGCGAGCTTCACGCCCTCAAGATCGGCTTTGACTGTGTGAAGGTGAAAATAGGCAACCAGATCTCGAGCATCCCTCTGAACTGATTTTCTGCGATAATCAATTCTTGGAGTGTAAATATTCATGATGGAGTGAATGAATGCATGATGTATGCATGTACTGTATACTTCGAGCACTATGGACAGGTAGAGACGGTACCAGACGGTCATATACCATACAGCCTGTAAATTACCACCCAAAGCGGTAATGACCTCCTTAGCTTAGCCGGGCCGCCGCGCTAGTAAGCTTTTGCTTCCTTCACTCAAACCATAGTAACACATCAATCAATCACTCACTCTTCCCTCACCCCCCCAGCCCTCCACCAAACACAAACACAAACACAAAACCAGCAACAGAATGTCCATATCCCATATCCCCCCACCGCCCATAACTCTGGTAATCTCCATCCCGGTCCCCCCGGTCCCCCAAACTGAAAGAAGATGAAAACAACCTAACCCCGATAGCACAGGAAGACCTCCAAGCCTTCCAGGCCAAACACTTCCCAGGCCGTGGCCTTGCAGTACAAACACCCCTAGCGACCCATGCCCCTCAGACCCAAATGAACACTGCCACCGCCTCCGCGCCCGAAGATCAGTCTTCTTATTACTATTATGAGGAAGAAGAAGAAGAGCAAGATGAAGACGGACTAGGCTACTACCCCGACGGGGTCAAACGGACCCTCACGGACGAGCAAATCCAGATCTTCCGGCATAGTGAGATCCATGCGCTGTTGCGACAGAGGGAGCTACGCGAGGAGGCGGAGAGGGAGCGGCAAGAGGATGAAGAAGCAGAAGAAAAGGCGCGGCGCGCGGAGAGGGCACTTGATCGGCGTGATGATGATGACGGAAAGGAGCGCGGTGCTGATGTGGCGCAGAGCGCGTCTGTTTCTGCTGAGGCTGGTGCTGCTGCCAATGCTGCTGCTAGCGAAAAGGCTGAACCACCTAGGCTTGGGAAATCGTCTGCCGGGAAGAAAAGGCAGCGAGATGATGGTGATTCGCCTATGGATTATGGCGATGCTGGGGGTGGGCAGAGGCAGCAGCAGCAGCAGCATGGTTCCTCTGGAGCCGCGGGACGGAGTGGTTCCTCCTCCGATCCTTATGCGGATCCGTCCAGGCGGGCGGCTCTGTTCACCGGAAGGAAGATTATTTCCTATGATGATTGAGCTGCCTTGGAGATTGTGACAACACATCCTGCTCGTCCGCTTTAGGGGCAACCAGCTCGTTGCTTGTTAAAGCCGGTAAGTCCTTGTTTTTCTCGGTTCCACTACCTTGGCATCCACCTTCTATGATGAAAACATCGTATCAGTCATCCTTAGTCGGAACGTCATACCATCTGCGGATGTGTGAGGCTATGACGACTAAAATCTTCTCTCTGAAATATTCCTTATTCGCAATTCTCGTTACGCGTCAATTTATGCTCTTATACTAAGCACTCTCTAGTCCTATGACGAACGACTCGAATCATTTTGGCTACACACTCAGTCAGCACAGCCTGTACAAAGAATATGGCATGCTGCTAGCAAGCCCTCGGCTTGTTCGATGGCCTTAACAGCCTCCGCTCAACCAGACCCGTTCCATTTCAGGTTGCACGTAAGCATACAACTGAACTATGCTCAAGGGTTACACAACAACAAACCTTTTCACCGCCTTGAAAAATGACTCTGCTAACATATTGATATCAATGAGGCAAATGGGCGATGTCTCAGGTCTCCTGTATTTGCTAAACCGATCAAGCACTCCTCGAACTCTGCCTGGGAACCAAGGACCAGAAGGCGATAACTCCAACAAGTAACCCCACCATGATCGGCTGCAAGACTTGAACTCCAACTCGCGAGGCTATGGCGCCCGTCATGAATGGGAAAGCGGCAGATCCCGCCTGTCCAAAACTCGCAGTAAAACCTGTTTGCTTATCAGCCTAGTGTCTATGGTTTACTTGCACAAATGATACTTACCCATGGCTCCCACGTGCAGGTCTTGTGGTATCACCTTGGTAAGAATGTAAAGTCCGACCGGATAGCATGGCCCAATGAAAAACCCTGTGTCGTGGATTGTCTGCGTCAGCATTGTCTATGCCTGGCAGACAATTGGCATGGATCAATGCTTACCTAGGAAGCATACCGTAATGGCATTGACTGTTATACTGGGCACTAGCCAAAATAACAACTGTAGAGCGATAGCCAATGTCATATAGACGAAGACCATCCGTCGTTCGCCAAACTTGTGCGTGATGTCTGCCAAAGCCACTCGTCCAACGGTAAAGCCGGCCCAGAACGCGGAGGCTATATAGCCCACTTTCTCGGGATCACCGTGTCTCACTGAAACGAGAAACTGGACAAGCCATCCTAGAAGATTGCGATTAGTCACAATGTATAACTAATTATCGCAACTACGATACCTCTTCCTCAGCAAAGGGTATGTAATACTTACCACCCGCCGTGACCTCCGCGCCCACATACAAAAAGAAAAACCCGTTGAGAATCCACACTGTCCGGTTCGTCAACGTCGCTCTCAGGTCGCGAGCGGCGCTGCCTTTGGCACTGCTGCTGTTGGGCTTGAAAAGCCCCCGTCGGAATGTCCAGGCCAGGAACGAGAGATTCACGGCGCCGACCACCATTGTAGCGAGGTAGTAGTGCTGCCAGTACGGAGTGCGCGCGGCGATGGTATTGGCGATCAACGGAGCCAGGATCGTGCCGACGCCGTACACCGCGTGCAATATCCCGAGCCACCGGTGGGCGTCTTGCACGGTGATCGTGTAGGTATTCATTTGCGCGTCCTGTAGGGCCACGCCGCAGCCTGTGAAGAAGAAGGCGGCCGCGAAGAGGGGGAACGGGGGCCCCCAGAACATCAGCGCATAGCCAATACATTGGATGGTGGCCCCAAGGACCAGGGTGCCGCCGGTGCCGATCTGTGAGCAGATGTGGATGTTGGTGAAGGAGGCCAGCTGCCACCCTATGAAGTTGACGAGGTAGATCATGGAGACCTGAAGCAGGTCAACGTGGTAGGTCAGTTGGATATAAGGAATCAAAACTCCTAGAGCGGCGTCTTTAGCCGTCCCCGCAAAAGAAAGTGTTAGCCTTCATGGTATATTTGAATCATGAGTATAAGGAAGCATGCATATGTGTGTACTGTACCATTGAATCCAGCTGTCAGCGCACTGAAGTTGGTGCTCATGATCCTGCCCATATTATCCTGTGCTCTTTTAGAGCCGAGGAGGGGCGTTTGGGATGTTGCATTCTCCTCTCCATTGGGGAGGAGTTTGCCGTGCTCTTCATCTCTGCGATTGTTCATTTTGGGATCTTGTCGCAATGGCTAAGCTCGCAGAGACTTACAGTCAAGAATGCCACAAGGATCTGAGTACGATCATATATAAGCTCCACAGTCTACAAGGCTACAGCAGTAGCAGCAGCAGGGCCATAGTGAGCTTCATAAGTGGGTTAACGCGGCTAGGACAGTCAGAGCCAAGCGAACTGAGGGGTAAAATCCCTCTTTGTTGAGTCCAAGCGAGGGGTATTTTAGGGAGTGGATCATCGGGGATGTCGGTGAAGCGTGATAAGCGTGATCAAGGGATAGGGTGCGGAGCATTAGGCTGATTTTGATAGAGGCAACTGCGGCGCTCGAGCGGGAGAGCGCTCGCCACGGTCATCAAAGAGATCTCGCCTTGAAGGCTTTTTTCTTATCAATTGCATTGAAGGATCCAAGCCAGTCTTATCCTCCGATCTTCTCTAAGAGACACCATGCATTGGAGCGTAACCCTAGCTACTGCAATGGGGTGCATAACGCAGCAAGCGTAGGTGTGTTGTCCGTCGAAATGCAGGGAGGTCGGGGGTTTCAATGGACCGGGTGACTTCTGGATGCAGTGCAGCTTGCATCGAGAACTCTAATTTGCATGGCCCCGTGTGGAAAGGCCATCCGACGGTGTTACAAACGATGACCAAATTGCAGCAGAGGGCCGGGAAAACGGTCCGACAAGGATTCATTCTAGATTCAAGATCGGCCTTGAGCTGCAGCTGGACCGATGCTGTGGAACCATACGCCAAGTCGTTTGCTTTGAGTGCGGGCAGGATTGTTCTTGCTCGAGGCGATCACTCGTTGAAATGGGAATCGCATTGAGTCATCATGGATGATTTTTGATTGAATCAAACATTGATTGCCTGTAAGTGTTGCTGCATTATGGTGGCTTACAATGCTTGCAGCCACGCGTGGGCGTAAAGCTTATGTGTAGTGGTATATCTATCACAGGCAAGCTGAATCTTCTGATAAGTATTGACCACTGGGCAAGGATGAGTGTGAGTAAGGAAATGAGAAAGGCATTGAGGAAGAAGAAGAAGAAGATGATGATGATGATGGATGAATGGGCAGAGGAAATGAATTGGAAGGAAGAAAGACAGGCTGGATTGGGAACCGACCTCTTCTTCCCCGGTGGGTTCCTGGCCAATCTTGCGTACCTTCCCTTCTCCCTTCTCTTCTCTTACTCCTCCTCTCTTTCTCAACTTCATTACCGACACTTCTTTGACTTCTCTACCTCTTACTCGACAAGCCGTTCATACTCTTTAGCTTCTTCGATTAGCTTCTTCCGACGAGATTGCCTCGGTTCTTCTTTCTTAAACTCACTTCCCAAATCCACTTCCCAATCAGATAGATATATTGTTCGCCATGAGCAATTTCCAAGACACCTCAACTCCCCAGCACCAGGAGAAGATGGATGTGGCCGGTGATACACCGCTGGAAGTGGACGAGAGGTCCAAGGTCTCTACTTCCTCCAGGGCACAGGATGCCTTTGGCGATGAGGAATTCGCAGAGGTCAAGTACAAAATCCTAAAATGGTGGTATGTGATATGATGCCATCTCCGTCTGCACCGTTACACACCTTTTGTCCGACTAATCATCGCTGCTGCTGCATACTAGGCAATGCGGTGTTCTCATGGTGGCCGAAACAGTCTCCCTGGGTGTCTTGTCTCTGCCTGCTGCTGTTGCTAGCCTGGGTCTAGCTCCGTAGGTTTCTTCTCCGAAGATGGAGTTGGAGATCAGGCCGACTAACAGTCCACACAGTTCCATCGTTGCGCTACTCCTCTTGGGAATGCTGGCAACCTATACTGGCTATGTGATCGGACAATTCAAGTGGAAATACCCCCAAGTCTGCAACATGGCCGATGCAGGGGAGGTGATCGCCGGCAGGATTGGCCGAGAGGTCCTTGGTGTTGGCCAGGTTCTGTTCCTGGTTTTCGTGATGGCTAGCCATCTGCTTACCTTCATCATCGCTGTGAACGCCATCACTGGCCACGGGACATGTTCTATTGTCTTTGGTCTGGTCGGCTTGATCATCTCATTCATTTGCTCGCTGCCTCGTACGCTAGTCAAGATGTCCTGGCTCTCGTTCGTTTGTATGCGTCCTGTGCCCACTCGGTGGACTTTCTGGTCACTGGTCAGACAGCTAATCTGGAAATAGCTTTCGCCAGCATTCTGTCAGCGGTGATTATCACGATGTTTGGCGTGGGCATTCTGCATCCCGGACAAGGTGTGGAAGCCACTGTACCTACTGACCTCACTCATGGCTTCGGCGGCATTACCAACATTGTCTTTGCTTTCTGTAAGTTCGAGACCACCTCGCACCTCTCAGCTGCGCTGACCATGTTTCCCAGCTGGACATGCCGCCTACTTCGGGCTAGCAGCGGAGTTGAAGGATACCCGGGACTTCCCCAAGGCGCTATGCCTCCTGCAGACTTTCGATATCTCGCTATACATCATTGCAGCTGTCGTGATATATCGGTACGGTGGTGCAGAGGTGGCCTCACCTGCTTTGAGCTCCGCTAGCCCCATGGTGTCGAAGGTTGCATATGGCGTTGCTCTGCCCACTGTGAGTGACTATCGCTCCAGCCTCGGATCATTGGCAGTATTGAGTCGCTGACATAGATTGAACCAGATCATCATTGCTGGCGTAATCAACGGCCACGTCGCCTTCAAGTACATCTATTTGCGCGTTTTCAGCGGCACCGATCGGATCCACAAGCGCGATTGGATTGCCATCAGCTCCTGGGTCGGTATTGCTTTGGGCTTGTGGGTGATTGCGTGGATCATCGCAGAAGCCATCCCTGTCTTCAGCAACTTGCTCAGTCTGATCGTACGGTCCCCATTGTCCCCCTCAGCAATTCGCAATTGTTCCGTTACGAAGCACAGCACTAACAAGCAAGTTAGACTGCCCTCTTCGCCAGCTGGTTCACATTCGGCTGTAGTGGCGTCTTTTGGCTATACATGAACCGTGGCCAGTGGTTCTCATCGCCATGCAAAACCGCCCTGACAATGCTCAATATCCTTAGTTTTATTGTGGCTGCGTGTTTGGTACATACACTATCCTCTCCCCGGACGAGCGACGCTTCATGCTGACAATCTTCTCATCGATAGTGCTTTCTGGGATTGTATGTCTCCGGCAAAGCGATCCACGATCATCCTAGTAGTATGAGCTTCTCGTGCGCGGACAATGCGACCTGAAAAGGCTGGTAGTTCCAAGGGTACTACTAACCTTTCATACTTCTATCCGACTACACTCGACAATCCCGGACGAGTGGGATACCTCTTCTCTCCGTCTCATAATCGGAGATACAATTTTCTTTGGTTGCGTGGTTTTCTTTTTTTTCCCCAAACATTGACTGCCAATTCTGAAGGAGGCGCCCTGTCAGGGAGGACGCTCACGCGGAACCTGTACTGTATATAAGGGTTCATGGTTCACAAGCGCTATGAGGACTGGAATCGAGTCAATGAATGTCTCCGCACGTAATTCACATTCCGGTAAGAAACTTGCATAGTCCTGGCAGCTCCAGCCTTCGCTAGACACCCGGGAATATGATTTTAAAGCGGGTAATAAGACGCAGAAAAGTCTCCTTTCGCCCTCAAGCCAGCATACCAGGTTTGGCTGCCGCAGCAGGTAGGTATTAATTAGTCTATTTCGTTAAGAAAGTTTGAATACTACATGGATCGCACATGTGCTCGTCAGGCAAGAAAGAGGGAAAACCGGGCCATGGAGTCAGCAGTCTATGCGTTCCGAGGGTTGTTGTATGTATGGCACGCAAACAAGTCCCCCTTAATGGTATGGTAAAATTACAATTCATTCGAGCCTCGACTCGCCCGTCTCATTCGCCGTTTCTTCCGCCGACAGGAGTCGATGGCCTCGGGCGTCAACATGTCTGGCGGCAGCTCGAAGTCTCGTGGCTGGAAGTCCGGGATGCGATGGCCAAAGGCGTACGGCGTCCGAGCGCCCGTGCGGTAGGCCGAGAGGGCTGCTTTGCGAGTATCTGAATCGGTGAAGAAAGAGGTGAATGGCTTTTCGGGTTCGGATGGCGGCGGTGGGGGAAGAGGAGGAGGAGGAACAGTGGTCGTGCTCGTCGTCGTTGTCGTCGTGGACGAGCCGGCCTTCTGGAAGTATGCGGTGATGGTGGCCCTCTTGGGAGCGGTGAGGGTGGTACGGGGTTTCTTGCCTGTCGGCCCCGTTGCAGTGGTTGCAGACCGAGCCTCCTGAAGAAGTTGGCGAGCAGCCCAGGCATCGACGTCGTTGGGGTCTGGTGGGTCACCGGAATAGCTTTGGGTGTCACCCCCTCCCCCGTCTGCTGCGGCAGTGGTGGGACCGGCAGCCCCCTCTCCCTCTGCGTCTGCTGTCGATCGGTCTTCTGCTGCTGCGGCAGTGGTCGTTGTCGCTGTTGCTTCTTTCGCATCGGCGGTGATTTGCTCGGCGGGTTTATCCTTATCTACCTTACGGCGCTTTTCTTTTTCCTTCCAGATCTTGAATTTCTGGAGAACAGCGGAGATCTCCCGGATAAAGTAGTCGCGTTTGGGCTCGTAAAGTTTCTTATCCTGCTCCGTGTGGCTACTGATGCCCATGATTCGGAGCCAGTCGTGACCTTGAAGCTCATCGAGGAGACGGTCAAGGTGTTGCTTCTCATGTTGAGCTCGATCGCGTTCGATGTTCCGGAGCTGCTTTTCCTGGCGCTCATTACGACGATGCGCGCGGAAGAAGATGCTCTCATCGAGGGGATCTTCGGGGATCGGGTCGGCAGAAGGGTCTGAGGGGGGAGACGGGGACGAAGGAGGTTCGGGTAGAGCAATAACTTCGCAATTGTGAAGGTTGATGAGCGGATTCCCGAAAGGACGGTCCAGATCCAACTCTGAATTGGATTTGATTCGAGCAACGATCGGAACAGGAAGGTCATCGATGAGTTTGATGGTGGTGCTACCAGCTAGGAATTCTGGAGCAGGTATTGTAAGCATTGATGTGCGTGGAGACCTTCATCATTTGATGGTCGTTACATACCGGTCTTGGGCGGCTCCAGGCTGAGGAGCTCTTCATAGTTGGGGAAATAGGCCGCTAGCTCGCTGCGGGCGCGAGAGCCTGTGTCGTTGGAGCGGAGGGAGCGCCGTGACTCCCGCGCATTGGAAGGAGATTCGGCGGCCGGCTGAGAAGCGACCGCGCTGCGGGTGGAACGATTTGATCTTTGTGTGACTGCAGCTGGTGAATCTTCCTGAATGGGTGTTGCGTCTGGTGCTGAGGGCGGAGCTTGACGGCGCGGGCGACGGGCCGATGAAGCGGCGGTGGCAGCGGCAGCGGCGGAGGAAAGAGCGGAGGAGCGACCGGCGGGGGAAATTCGACGGGAGACGGAGGGGGATATGGTGTCTAGGGGATCGGGCGATTCACGCTCCTGGTGGAGAAAGAATGAGGGTAGAGTATTGACGGGCGTCTCATGGCGTAGAATGCGACGACGGTCGGAGTGTCGCGGAGTATTGGGAGACAGGGGAGACGTGGTCGTGTTGGAGGAGACCAGCGGACGGCGCGTCAACGCCCGCCGGGATTGCGCTCCAGATGCAACTTTGGCGTGCGGGGAAGGAGCCAACGAGGCCGCGGGCGATGGCGAGGAAAGATGCGATGGTCGAGGATGAGAATGGGAGTTGGTGACGTCGAGTAGATCGGGGGAGCTCTTGCGACGACGCGACGAGGAAGAGAATTCCTGCAGTCGAGCTCGTTTGGCAGGCGGCGGATCGAGTGGTCGAGGCAGTGAAACACGGGCGGACATTAGGAGAGGAGAGGAGAGGGAGGAGCTCAGAGGGAGGAGGAGATTTGCCAATGCGACAGGAGCATGTTCTGATCGGGAGGACTTGAGGCAGCTTGGGATTCCTTCTTTTCCACGTTCCCGACAAATTGATTATGAGGGTGGGTAGGCTTGCGGAAGAACTCGGGGGGGGGGGGGGGGAAACAAGAAAGGCAACGAGACAGTTGAAGGTTTGGAGGTTGCAGTCTGGGATTTGGGGAGAGAGAAAGTGAGAGGGCGAGAGAGTTTGAGGAATGTACATACGGAGTAACGTTAACTGTATGTAATAATCGAGGAAGGAGGGAGGGAGAGGGAGTCCTGTCTCAGACCTGTCTCAGACGTGACCATACTTAGTTACTGTATTGTTCTCCTTCTGCTTCTCACTCAATCTAATCTTCACCATCTTCACCATCTTCACCACCTCACTCATTCATTCATCCATTTCGTGCACATTCACCATTTCACCCATCCATTTATTCGCTTTTTTGTTCTCTCAATACTTCTGGTATGACAGACTCAATGACAAGACAGGGGTTCTCTCCCCCCAGGACCAATTGAAACTATGCACCCCACATTATCCTCCAGTCTCTCCTCCTTCTCCGCTCCAGTTGTGGGCGGAGATGATGCATTCATGCTCATATTCAGAGCTACTCGCACATGTTTCCGAGGATAAACGTGGGGGAGACCCCCTCCAGGGATCTGGATGAAGATTCTTTTTCCGCACTGGATTCCATATTCCTAATTGTCCGAAGCTTAGAGGAGGAAATTCCCCCCGCGCCGTGGCCTCTTGAAGTGGGGGAGAACGTGGGGGTGGATGGAGAAAGCAACGAAGGGCGATCAGGGCTTCATTCATTCAATCCAATAACTGATCCATGTGAGTTTCTTCCCTTCCCCTCCCCTCTCGTGCTTCTTATATCCTTTCACCCCTCCCTCTTGTTGTTCCGAAGTTTCGTCCCCTCCTATTCATTTCACCTTGGAAGCTAACCCGCCGTCGGCGCGATAACATACAGACCCGAGCTGACCTAATTCATCGCAACTCTCGCCGCAACTATCCCCCATCTACAGACAGACACGATACATCATGGCCCGCACACCTCGTCCCCTCACACCAGGGATCTACGTCCCGACCGTGGCCTTCTTCAGCCCCAACGAAGACCTAGATATCCCCACCGTCGAGCAGCACGCCGCCTACCTGGCGCAGTCCGGCGTCACCGGCCTCGTCGTGCAAGGCAGCAACGGCGAAGCCGTCCACCTCTCGCGAGAGGAACGCAACGAGATCACCGCCGCCACCCGACGGGCCCTGGATGCCCACGGTGCCGCCTCCAAGCCCCTGATCGTCGGCACGGGCGCCGCCTCGACCCGGGAGACCATCCAACTGTGCCAGGACGCCGCCGCAGCGGGGGGCGACTACGTGCTGGTCCTGCCCCCGTCGTACTACAAGTCGCTCCTCACGACCCAGACCATCCGCGAGCACTTCAAGCTGGTAGCCGCAGCCTCGCCGGTGCCCGTGCTCATCTACAACTTCCCGGGGGCCTCGTCGGGGCTTGACCTGTCGTCGGACGACATCCTCGCCCTGGCCGCCCACCCCAACATTGTGGGCGTGAAGCTCACCTGTGGTAACACGGGCAAGCTGGCCCGCGTCGCCGCGCAGGCCAAGCCGGGCTTCCTGACCTTCGGCGGCTCCGCCGACTTCACCCTTCAGACCCTCGTCGCCGGCGGCGCCGGCGTCATCGGCGGCGTCGCCAACCTGATCCCCCGCGCCTGCGTCCGCGTCTTCGACCTGTACCGCGCCGGCCAGGTCGAGGATGCCCAGCGCCTCCAGGCCGTCGTCGCCCGCGCCGACTGGCACGCGATCCAGGGCGGCTTCGTCGCCGTCAAGAGCGCCCTCCAGTCCTACCGCGGCTACGGCGCCCTCCCCCGCCGGCCGTGTGTCGTGCCGGCCGCAGAGCAGGTGGCGGCACTCAAGGAATCCTTTGCCGAGAGTATGGAGCTGGAGCGCCAGCTGGAGAAGCAGCAAGCTTAGGGATTATTTGTTCGTCCAACCAAGGACTTCCTCCCCCCGTCCTACACAATACACCTAATTTCCACACAAGCAAGCAAGCAAGCAAGCATAAGCCTCCAATCCCATTTCATCCCCATCTGTTTTGTTCAAACCAAGAATCCTCTTTCTTCCCATCGTAGCCACAACCCATGGTCACATACACATACACATACATATCGTAGTTGTAAAAAGTGCCACCCCTAAACGGCCCGCCCCAGTTCTGTCGAGATACTCAGCCAAAAACATCGTATCGTATCATCTCTCCCCAACTCCAAACCCCCCTAAGTGCACCCCAGTAAGAGATAATGTGATCTAAAGCTGAAGCTGACGTTCGTTTAGGGGCGCGCAATCCCCAGCGGAAGAAAAAGTGTTCATCCATGGGCACGACACGAAGCGTCATTCGATCACACGATACGGAAGATCAAGAAGCAGCGAAGGAGAGGATGGAAGTGAGTTCTGCGACCTTGGGAGATAGAGGACTCCACTCCAACCCTACCCTGTCTTTGGAGGATTGGATGGAGTAGACATGCTTACAGCATTATAGCTTATCTCGGAGATGCACGCGATGTTCGTGGTGAAAGAGGGGAATTCATTGGTAGACTGGTGGAGTTATACTTGCTTGGGTTGGTTTCAGAGCCCTCGCGGCGGCAGCTATTCTCGAACTATAGACACGACAGAGCTGTCTGGTTAAGCAGGAATTTTTGATTGCAGCTAGAACTACTGTTTTCTGGAGAAAGTGGTAAAAGTGGGACACCGATTCTTTTTTCATTTCATGGTCCCAAAAAGACCCTCGGCCCAGCCTGGGTGTGCTTCTCAGCCATTTGGATATATATATAATACAGCATGATCCAAAGAGTAGATCAATCAAAACAGAGGGGCTCAAAGAACATGGATATGATGGTATCAGTCAAGAGTTTGAAACGCAAAAACAGCCACATAAAGAAAAGAAATATCAGTCGGCTCGCTATCCAGGAGACACAGGTATGCAAAAGACATAAGATAAGAATGGGAAAGGGAAAGAACACGAAGCAGGGATGGATTTAGGCCATCAGCTCGTCGAAGTTCTCATGCGAATAAGCGACGTCGGGTAGTGGGACGGCTGGCCGACCGATCATCTGCGTGGTTGGGCCGCTGAGCCACGGCCCACGTTCTTCGTCGTTGGTACTCAGCACGCCTTCAGCACGCTTCAGAGTCTCAACATCCAGATCGGTCACGTATGCCTCCCGGTTGGTACCATCTCCGGCGCCACCTGGGAGCTTGAGCCGGACTTCGAACTCGTTGTCAAGCATCATCTCATCCTTCCATAGACGACGCTGACCATCAAATACACAAAGCACGCGCTTCTTGGTCTTGATGCTGCTGCTGGGGCATCCCCACGACTGAGGGTACCGGTCACGGTTGTTCCGCCGCTTGGTCGCCGTCGCACGCATCTTGTTGTTGGCTGAGGGTTTAGTGACGGCATTGCCGCTGCCCAGGATAACGCGAGCGGTGGAATTGCCCCGAGGAACCTTCAGGAAGTTCTTAGCCAACCGCTGGTTGGAGCTTTCGTAGAAGTCTTCGTCATCGTCGTCATTTTCGTCGCTGAATCGATCCACGGTACCAGCCGTGTCGAGTAGCATGTGTTTCTCCATAGTCTTCTTCACCTCCTCGTCCGAGTCGACTTCGGCAAGGCGCTGCTGGTTGATGGCTTCGCTAGGCTCTTCTTGTTGCACCACGCGTAGCACACAGTCATCCAGATGCTCGTAGAAGTCTTGTGCATTGCTGAAGGTGATGGAACACGTAGAACACTTGCCAGTAGCCTCTTGACTATGACCAGACACATTCTTGGCGATGGAAGCCACGGGGGTTCGCTTGCGGCAGTTGGGTGGCGTTTGCTCAACACCGTGCACTGAAGTCAGATGACGCTTGAAGACGTCCGCCCGGTTGAAACTCTTCTCAGCGGGCGACCCAGATCCCGGACAGAATCCGCACACCATCGTTCCCTTGTAATGGGTGAGTGTATGCCGATTCTTGTCGTACTTGCGTGCGAACCCCTTGATGTGGTACTCGCAAGTTGCAATTGGGCATTTCTCAGGTCTCTCGGACTGGTGAGTAAGCATGTGGGCCTTGAGGTCCTTGAACACTCGTCCACAGTCGGGGTGAGGGCATCGGCCCTTTTCCTTGGTTTCATCATCGGAGTCGAGGCTGCTCGACGCCGGGCTGGGCTGAGACAGGCGAGACCGGACCGAAGCCACAGATGGTCTTCGCTGATATGCGGAGACGGGGAGTGAACGAGGAACGGTGGAAACGGGAGAAGCAGCTGAGAACTCAGCTTGCTGGTGGGGAAAGGATTGCGTAGTGGAATAGGGCTCTTCAAGCTGGTAGTGAGATGGATTGGGAGATTGGGGGAAGAAGCTGTCCTGTGCGATCATGAATTCGGACGACTCAGGAAACGAGATGGCGGGTGGTGAAAGATGACATTGGGAGTTGGGCTGAATTACGGAAGGATCTGTTCATTAATTTGATTAGCAGAGGAACAAAATCTATGTGGACGGGAAAGCACGAACCGACACAGTTCTCAATCCACTTCTTCTGATAGAAATCATCCGTGTCCGTCACGCCGCTGACATACTCATTGGGAAAGAAGTCGCCCATGAGAGCGTCGGCGAGTCCCAGACCGTTGGTGGTCTGGATCCACTCCTCTTGGATGAAATGTGCTGTTCCTGAGTGGGGTGACCCCATGGCGGACGATGAGGCACTCGGGATAGAAGGTCCTGAAGCGGTAGAGAGACCAGGAATGAAGTGATCGGCGGAAAGAGGAAGAGAGGGAGGTGTGACGGGCATTGCAGGGAAGCTGGAGGTCTTGGGGAGAGGAGCGAAAGCGTCCGAGTACATGGCAGGGGTGTCATAATAGGGTGGTTGCAATGCGACGGAGGAATCGTGCGTCTGCGCATAGTCGCACATGCCTTCCATTGGGAAGGCGAACGGGTCGACCAACGTGGAGTCCATTGCGAGCTGTGGGACGTAGGAAGTCTGCCGTTGTCTGGTGGAATTGAGAGCAAGGGCAAGCATCTTCTTGTTGTCGGTGGTGAATTGAGCCGGACAGAGGACAAAATCGGCGAAATCTTGACTCTGCATGTTGTGCAGGCACGACCGAAAAGGAATGCGCAGTGGTAACCTGTATGCAGGCAATGAATCCGACGACTAGGGTCGAGTAAGTAAGAGCGAGCACTGCGTCTGCAGGGTAACTGAGTCAGTTGAGGTCTCATACTGGATGGTGATTGAGTTTCGGGGTAGGTACGGTACTGGGACCGGGCCGCGCGGGGGAACCTACAATTCCTGATGCTGTTTCCTTGGATGTGACAGAGCGGAACCTGTGAATACAATGCACGAGGATGTGCGATAGACGCTCTTTGTACCTCGCTGCAATTCGCAGGGTGGGTGGTGAGGAGTGACGACGAGTTCAAGTGAGGGAAGATTCGTTGGTGATGGGAAGAGATGTATGTCTATACCGGGACGATGTCAACAAATTGACAGCGACACTCAAGACAAGTGAGGGCGAGGGCCGAAAGATAAATCGGGGGAGAGGGGTGAGAGAGAAAAAGAAAACAATGATATAGACTGGAGAAGAAAGTTGACGAGGGAAGGAGGGAGTAAAAGCATTGTTAAATGTTATGTGATTGCTGGCTCTACAAGAGAGTTGAATGCTACTATTTGCGCTCATAGTGGATAAGACTGGCTTGGGGGGGGGCCGGGGGGGGGGATTGACCAACTACTGCGCACGAACTAAGAAACCACGCTAAAATAAAAAAAAAACCACGACCATCCATAGTATACGAAATAGGCCAGGGGAGTCATTTCTTAGCGCGCATCGAAAGTGACTGGGGTGGGTGTGGGTGCAGTGGGTGGATGTGAGCGTGTGGACTGTGGATGATACCGTCGATGATGATGATGATGATAGATAGTGGAGGGTGGAGGAGGGCAGTACGGCAGACAGACAGTACGGAGTACGGTAGGAAGGAAACCGAACAGACCGACCAACCCGTGTACAGTAATGTGAAAGAAAAAGAAAAAGAAAAAGAAAAGTTAAAAGCAAAAGATTTAAAAAAATAAAAAAAAAAAAATAAAATAAAAATAACAGGGGTAAATCGAAGCAAGAAGGATGAGTGGGGAATGCCGGGCAGCAGTAAAAAGAAGCAGGGGCAGGGCAGCCAGTGAACCGAGCCTGGTATTTTTGGCTCCTTCTTCTTTCTCTCTCGTTACGCCAGCTTTACCGCTAAGCCTGCTTGCTTGCCTTCCTGCATGCTGTGACGCTCTTGCTCTTGCTCTTACTCTCTCTCGCTCTCTTGCACTGCCTGCCTAGAACACCGTCGGGTTGAATCTTCGTTTCTTTTTTACCATTTATGATTTTTTGCTACATTTAGCGATCATATCAACCAAGAAGATGTCATTTCGATTTTTGGACCATGATTAATTCAATTTGAATTATTGCTGCTTCCCGCTCCCTGTTTCTCTTCTTTCCCGACACGATCCGAGCTTGTCATGAACCATAATTCCAGTCTACTTTTGTTGGGGTGTAGATCAGTACTTCCCTGCTATACTCAGTAGAACGAGATAGGCCAGCCCGGCAGCAAATGGTGGATAGGATCGGGAAATCTCGATTGATAATCGGAGGGGGAGGGGGGGATCGGAAAGAAAGATTCATAATCACGTAAGCGGATTTAGGGAGAATTTTCTGGGGTTACAAACTCACAAACACAAAAAGTGACAAAAGGAGAAAGAGGAAAGAGAAGGAGAGGGGGAAAATTTCCAAATGGAAATCAGACCCACCAACCTTGAACATTGAGAGATAACTCGACTCGTCCAAAACATTCATCCCCTCCTCCCTCCTACTATGTAAGATCATTGGGCTCGGTGGTGGTGGTTACCAGGTATTTTCCAAATCCATCGTCATCCATGCACTTTATCTGTTATGCTTAATTGAAGATCTTATGTGTTTATTGTTTCAATCATGATTACCTACACCTTCTTTCCTTGGGGGTCGAAAAAGGCTTCTAGGCATTAGCAGAAGCATTTCGACTATCAACTCTAGCATGAGGACAGAGAAACATTCAAAAG